CTGAGCTATGCCTGTGGCAAGCTATTAACAGGCATTACACTTTGCCTTTTCTTTTTCTTTTTTAGTGTAGTGGAGCCTCACTTCAGAGTGTTTACCGCGACCTATCTTTGGTGTTATGAAGTGACTGAGCTGGTGAAATGTCTACGGGAGGGCGGGGGAGCATCGCTGCGGGGCAACTGTGGACCTCTGTCGCCTGTCAGCGCAATTTATATGATGCCGTTTAAAAAAATGAAGGGCGGTGCCGGCCGTCAGCGTACCGAGCCGGCCGTCAACGGCCCGCTGACGACCGGCCGTTCTGTGATTCTCCAAGTCCGCCCTGTATTCCACCGGGTCACCGCAGCACCGCGGTGCAGACGGACCCGCTGGAATACAGGGTCTACCGCGTTTAGGAACCGTTAAGCAGAACCGAAATTGTGTATTTTGTATGGGTACCCGGTACCCGGCATTTTCTTATCGGTTCTCATCTGGAACCGAGTTTCGGTTCCCAACCCTACATATGACATATATTTTTTTAAATGTCTCCAGTACCGATAAAAAGACCGATAACGTTGGAGTTTAACGGAGCGTAAAACACACGTGATGACGTCACCAACGAATCGACGACTGAATTAGTTGGCAACTAATTTGGTAATCGATTTGAATCGATTAAGTCGATTAGTTGTTGCACCCCTACACCCTGGAATATTCGAAACTGGAATGGATATTTATTTAACTATTTTTTCAAAATGTTTAATATTTTCATTAATCGATCATTTAAAAAAATCAATAGTTTCAAACCAAAATGTATGCATCTATTTTTGTAGCAGATCATGCTGCATTTGATACATTTCATTTGACATCTAACGACAACAAACAAACTGGACTGATCTCTGACATTTCATTCAGCCACACAGGACATGTGATCACTGAACAGCTTAAACACAAAGTGCAGGTTACGTAAGTGTGGATACTGCCACGGATGAACACACATGCAGAGCCGGCTGTCTAAAAATGGAAACCATCATGTGAGTGAAAGTGCTGGAGGTGGCACAGAGCCAGAAAACCCATTTCCACAGCCTGTGTTCAGCCGCTGTGGAGAGACTCAGCGTCTCAGAGACTCGCTCTGAACTGATTCACACCGTTTGGCTGGGACTCATTCTCAGACTGGTGCTTCCTCTACACAGTTATAATCTTTACTCAAAATACTCCAGTGCATTCGGGGGAATCCTCAGTAAGCAGAAGAACATTTTCTTGATGCAAAATTCTTCTATTTGCTTGTTATACACAACTTTGCTCTATTTGGTGACTTTTCTCAAAGATAAATGCACAATGGCTTTAAATGAGTTCTAGTTCCAAGGGGTTCACAAAACTAAAATGCGTCAACTAAAAGATGAGTTCTTTTATTTTGAGATCTGCCAAGCATTAGCCTGTGTTGAGATAATGTGTTCGATCATGTGTGCGAGTTCGTACTGAGTGTGTGCATGTGTGTATCTGACCACAGATAATCTTGCCGAAATGGGGAAAATAAAAGAATCACAACAAATATCCCAATATTGATATTGCTACAAAATGGTATGGTTGAATATTGCTTGACTGTTACTTTCACAAAACATTAACACAATGAAATTGTTTACAAGTTACGTGGACATTGTGCCTATGGTAATCAAAGGGCTAATGGACTGCATTTATGAAGCACATTTCTGGTCTTTAGGACCTCTCAAAGCACTTTTACATTTACAACTCATTATTCACCCATTCATAAACATTCATACAGAGGCCGCCATACTTGGTGCCACCTGCTCAATGAGAGGGGTGCGTCTCACTTAGGTTATTTTTAATTTCCTCGCTCCTCGGGCTCGGTATCACGGGAAGTTGATTTGTCTGCGCCATCTTGAGTACCGTCCCAGTGGCCTTATTTTTCTCCATGCTTCCCTGGTGGGAGGGACTAAACGCAGGGAAACAACGCAAGTGAGGGACGCAAGGAATCCATTTAACCGAAGTGAGATGCATCCTAACACTCACACACCATTGGCCGAACCACTGGGAGCAACTTGGGGTTAATTATCTTGCCCAAGGAAACATCAACATGTTGACTGTAGGGGCTGGGATCGAACCCCCAACCTTGCGATTGGTAGACCACTCAACCACAGTCGCAAAAAGGCAAATAATAGAACAGCTAACAGTCTGGTTACTTCCAAAGAAATACATCCATATACTGTAATGCAGCCTTTAGGACCAGGAAATACTCATTCCATAATACGATATGCAACATTGAAGACAATATCAAGTCTCATATGCCGATATCGATATAATATAAATATATTGCCTGGATATATCAGCCTAAAATGTATTTCTGATCATTAATGACAGAAAGGATCTCTCCTGATTTTTGTGATTCACAATTTATAAAAGATACAACTTTTTTATACTATCATTGACAGCCAACTCGTTTATCAACCTGTTATCAGGGGCCTCAAATGAATGATTTCATTTGTAAAAGGCTAACAACAAGCCATACCCAGCTTGTTGCAGGCCTATTTAGAAATGTGTGAACAGGAGTATCTGCAGATTAATCCGATACCTGATTGGCTATTAGGGCTGAACGATTAATCGATGTTAAATCGAAATCGCGATTTGAAATGATGCGATTATCAAATCGCAAAGCCTGCGATTTAAATTTGTTTTAAATTATTTTTGTAAATAAATAAAATTCTTCTTGTGTCAGTCATCCACACCAATCAGAAGTGCTGTGCTCCACATGTACCAGCCATTGTTAACCAATCAGAAGTGGCCCATGATAGAAGGTGATAGACAGATTGATCCAATCACCTGCCAAGTCTTTTTGAAATACTATTTCCAAATGGCTTCCAGTGGAGCTTTAGATGGTTTGGTGAAACAAACCATCTGGGTCAGGTTAGTAATGCTCCATCACATGTTTCTATTACAGGGTGAATCTTAAACTGAAGCTTGACTTTAAAGCAACCCAACGGAAGTTTCATGTAAGTTTAGTTTTTTCACTCGTAGCTCGGGCTGCGGGGGTGCTAGAGACTGGAGTACGTTGATACGACCTTCCTAGCCGGAGATATGGCCGCATTTTACAATAAACTTCCGTTGGGTCGCTTAAAAACAAATATCGCAAATCGAATCGCAATATCTGTCAGAAAAATCGCAATTAGATTATTTCCCCAAATCGTGCAGCTCTATTGGCTATCATACCATCCAAGCAAGGGATGATACAAGACAAAAACATTTTTGGTTTAGTTATCTTGGCCTCCGTTTTGACTGCTATGAAGCTGGGAGGGGCAAATGAGTGACATTCAACTCTTCTTTGTTTAGGAGGGGAGAACGTGACACATCTGCAATAGAACTGATTCTACTTCTCTATTGTTGAATCTGCTGATAAAATCATGCAATGTAGGAATCTTTTAGTACACTACTGTCTTTTAAACTTAATGTGGCTAAAGTTAGTTTAACACTAAACACCTTAATAATAATACAAGACCTCATAGCATGAATAGATACTTACTGTACATCACAAACAGGATGGATGCAGCCTTGATTTGAAAGGAAGCTCATTGTCCATAACTGGGTGTAGGTCTGACTCTGCTTCCTTTAGCAAAGCGGGTCGAGATGTAATCACTTTTTAATCAAGTGATGTCTTGTAAAATACGATTCTATTTTGGAGCTAATTTTAGCAGCCTTTACATCATTAAAATGTTGAACAGCAAAAACAGCCCCGTTACATAAAGCCATTCAAAGATGGGACAACACAGACATATGAAAATCCTTTATGTTTTATGTGAAACATGAGCCATCACTTTGGGAAATAAAGAGACAGGTTTCCATTGCAGCTCTCAATGCTTGTCCCACATAAAAAAAGTCATTGGATATGTCAAGGCTGGCTTTTGATTGAAAGACAAAGAATGGGCGACTGAAACCCAATGACAAGATAGCATATCAAACATTCCGCAGGTGATGTATTCCCATTGTGACGAGCGGCCGTTCCCACAGACACAAAGAGACCGGTGTTTCCATCAGAGCCTGGGATCTAAACCGCCACTCAGCGGTACAATCAGTGATTCAAATGTAGCCCGAATTCATTACAAAGGTTTTGGATAGGGTTATGGTCAAGTTCTTTCACACTAAACTGGGAAAAAACTTGTCTTTTTGGAGCTGGCTTTGTCATGTTGACACAGAAAAGGGATGAACACAACCACAAAGAAACATTATTGTCCAATAGAAGATATCTCTTTGTATGTGGAAGCATTTAGATTTCACTTGTTTTGGACTAAAGGGCGCAAACCAGGGAAAACAGACCAATACTCAGGTGTCTACATACGTTGCCTACTTTTGGCCATTTAGTGCATGCCCATTTGATTGATTATAAGTTCATATGTTCTACTGAAATGTGGCAGTTAGTAGCCAATTGTGAGAGCATGGTGTTCAGATTTAAAGGAATGATTTTTACAATCAAATAAATACTGTTGGATGATCTACCAGCTGCATTAAAAAGAAAAACGTTAGCATTTTGGAATCATTATTGTTGTGCAGATTTGAAGATTAATGGCCAGAAATACGTTGACTTTTGGCCCCATAGCACGAGTCAAGCTTCACGAAACCTAGATCCTACATTTCCCACAATGCAACTGCAAGTAATATCTTTATTGACTAATTCCCTGCTCTAATTTTTCAAACTCTATGCCCCAGTTTTGAATGCAAGCTGTGCAGACAAGCCAAGCTCTTCCCTATCAAACTAGGCTTCTTTTAATAAAGCTGGTTTTTGCATGGGGAGCAAAAAGGAACAAACACAAACAGTTACAACAAAGCTCACTATTGTTGTAATGTGGAACAATGGAGACAAGCCCAGATCATAAACAGGGTGTCTACACATTATACCATAATGTAGGACACAAAGATAGAGGATGTCTTTGAATTTGAGTTGTTGACAATAACAAAAACTATGGAATAATGTTGGTTTTATCCTTTATGCAATACAACACAATATGAGTCAGTTTACATACCCGTTCTTGTACTTGAGAGAAAGAGCCTTCCAGAAGTTAATTTCCTCTTCTTTCGAGGAGAATTTTGGTATCATATCTGTTTCCATGGCAAACAAATCTGGAAGGGAAGGAATAAGAAAACAACAGTGATTAGAGTGAGATAAAACGGCCAGGTTTATCACACAGAACTGAAACAACCTCATTATATTTTCCAATAGCTTGGGATCTTAGTCTATAAAGACACGAGTGAGAAACTCACAGCTAGGAATACATCATCAAAAGAGCTCCCTGCTGATTCGCAGAAACCCTGAGGAGTTCCCCTCACAGAGAACCACACTCTTCTCTCCGGGGTTTGAACAAAACAGCCTTTAGGATTTGATATTGGCCTTCCATAAGATCAAATCAATCTAAGCCTGGCAAAAAAGGGCCCTTCTGACATTATACAAGACAACAAATCTGTTACTTAGTTCAAAATGCACCCGAGTGCTGCGTGATCTGTTCCCAGAGGTAACATTGGGGCCCGAAGCCTCGTTTATACTGACTCATAATTAGAGAGGAAACAATCATTTAACCCCTAAACCCCCAACTCAATGTGAGCAGCAGCAGATGGGAACACGCCCAACTGAGAAACCAGAACATTTGTTGTCAACATTAATCAATCTCTTTGACTTAAATAGAAAGATAAAGAGATGCTGATGACGAAAACAATGTTGGATAATGTTTGTTAAGTACAAAGTCCTTTTCTCCCCCCATCTTTGAAACTGGTTTGCTTTCACTTGCTTTCCATTTTGTGTCCCCAGTTGACTGAACGGGAATCAAAAGAGATGTTTACCTGTAAACCAAACAATGAAATGGTATGGCCAGAGGTAGCAAGTCAGTCGGTATACTTACTAATGTTCAGTATTTAACTATTTGTACTTTTCAGAGGTATATTGTATCTCAATCTTTTTGGTAATTGTTGTTACTTTGCAGATTCGTTTGAATTATACAGTACATAATATAATCAATAAATACATGATTATATATTATAACAGGTTAAGATGACACTTTATTGAGTAGAAAATGCCCAGCTACCAAGCTGTATATGAAATAAGTTATATTATATCAATGTTATCCTACAGTGAAACCCATCTTCTCATGTAACTATATGCAAGAAGGATATATAAGCATATTTCCCAAAACGTTGTTATCTCGTGGATGTTTGATTATGGACAACACGTCTACATAAGCATCGCAGAGACTGGTCAGAAATAATAGTGAGAAATTATTATATTCAAAACAGCAAACCAAGAGTTAAAATTAGAACAGCAAATAAGAATTCCAGAATGCAATACCAAACTATTGTGCAGGTCCAAAAACTGAAATAAACCTTAATAAGAATGGTATGTGATTATTAAAGTGTATGGTATGAGAAGGATAACAAGGCATCAAGGCCAGCAGAGGCCTCTCAAGTGTCACAATAAATACTGCTGACTTCTAGCATCGTGGTGAAAATGTCCTTGACACAATACAAATCCTTTACAACAACTGAAGGACAAGGGAAGGCAATCTGGCCTTCAAAAACTCAAACAGAAATGCCATTAACCATAACGAGAGCTTGTCTGCTCTTGCTATCACTGACTTCTTTTATGTTGCCCTACAAACATATCTTTCTATTTTTCCTGAATAATTCAGCTTCAGATTACATTCAACCAGCAGCCCACAGGGAAACTATAATGTTATTACAGTAGAGGAGAATGCATCACATGCCATTTTGATAGCATCATAAAGAGGGCCATGTATATGCCCCCTACATAAAACACAAATACTGTTAATATTTTGCAAGAGGATAATTTATTTTATTTATCTCCTGTTTTCTCTTTTTGATAATTGGAACAGTCCTAAAACAGAGAGGACAATTACAATTAAAAAATGTTTCCTTCATGTTAACTGAATAAGATTGATCTTGACCTACGAATTTCGATATTATAAGGAATATATTATAGGATTTAAAAAACATTGTGTTTTATAAGACTGGCCTACACTTAAAAATCGTCTATAGACATACTGATTTAATTTGCAAATGAGAAATGACCCTGTTGAACACTGATCATATGGTAATCTGGTTGACTAATTATAACACTCCTCACCTGGCAAACAAACTAAAATAGTTGAATTGATGCATTAAAAATACCATACATTTGTATTGAGTAATTACCCTTTATATATACAGTCTATCTATGGTAATTACATAAAACAGGACCAGAATGACACCAGGATTGGTGTAACAGCACAAACATGATGCTGAGCTCAGCTGTCAAAACTGGGTGTGCAAACAAGCCGTGAATCGAACGAACGACCAGCCCGACGACATGTTGGCTCTAGTGTTTTAATTTATCTGGTTTCAACATGAAGACAAAATACAATAAAATTAAAAGCATTTAGTACCTGAACATCGCCCAAAACAGTGATATTTATCAGTCCATTATTCCCGCTTGTGTGAGCTGCTGAGGCCGAGCTTCTTCTCTGATGTCTGATGATCTGTGCTGACTCCTCTCAGCGCGGAATTTAATGGGGAGTCCACCCTAAATATGAATATTATTAATCCCGATATGTGTGACTCAGGTTGGATAAAAGTGTGAAATATTAAACTATTGTATTATCTTTTTAAGACTGGGAAAATATATGTGGATAAAGCTATTGAAAACAACCCTGGAAAGAAACATATTTTAGGGTGGATTTCCTCAGCACTCACTTGCTCTGCTGTGTTCACGAGCTTCACTGCTGCACACAAACTGCGCATGATCACGCATTATAACAAAAAACGGAGTAAATATCAAGTTAGCACCATCTGCTGCTCATCGACTACAACAGGGTTTAGTATTACTTGATTTAAGTTGTTATGATGTTAGGGACAGAATAAACAAATCTTGAAATAAATAAAGTCATATTGTGTTGTTAAATTAACTGTGTAAACAAGGTGTTCTTGTGTTGTGTATCTGTATGGAGAATCTTAATTTACTCTGTAAATCAACGTTATTAGATTACAGAATTTTAAGGTACAAAGTAAAAACATATAAAATAAGCAGTCTAAAGTATTAGATAATAGTTGAAAAATATATTTTAGAAGTTAAAATGGGGACACAATAAATCATTTCATTAGTAATTTACTTAAATAAAAAATGTACTTAAAAAAGGGTACATTTCTTAACTTATTAGCGTATCTGTAGGTTGAGTCATTTAAAAAAGAAGTAGTAAAAAAACCTCTGTTTTGACCATAGGTGTTGACCCAAAAAAAAGAACTACATTCTGAAATTAAATCAATAATATCAATATCACTTTCTATTTACTTGTCTTACTATTCATTTACCAAGAGAGTATTTATAAAATCATGACATAATGTATTTAGTTAACTGGAAATGTTTCTACACATTTGTCCTCTACATTTTGTAACATTTGTATTAATTGTTGTGTTATTATTATTACAATGTACTACATTATCTCTCTAAATAAAAATGTCAACAGGTGATGAGTTTTGGCTTGGTTTGTCAAAATAATAACTGCGTGGTCTTTGACGTCAAACGCGTCATTACCTCACATGTTTCCACGGTAACCGTGCAGAGCTCCTAAAACTAATTAGACAAAATGACTGAGAAGAGTTTAGAGAAAATGACGAGCTTTTCCTGGGACAGAGACTCCGAGGACATGGAAGAAGACTCAGCGACCATGTTCGACGTGTTCAACAGTCAGATGAGAGAGGTTTGTGCTGCTGCAGCCTGTCATGGTGGGAGTTAGCTAGCTCACCTAGCTACTCTGCTATGTGAGGTTACTGTGTACGTTCTTTGAACGTTACTCGACAAACCCATAATAAAGGGAAACACTTTAAAAAAGGTCCAAAATAATTGCCAACAATCACTGAAGTAGCCATATTGATCACATGACATTTGTCTGCCACTTAATATATCTCAAATATAATTTAGACTTATATGAAAACTAGCAATTTACCTACAGTAAATTGAGGACACACTAAATTCAATTTGAAGGAAATGTAGACATAAAAGCCTTAGAAATAAAACATGTATTTATTAGTTTGACAAATAACTGATTTTTGAATTGATTTATTTCATTTAATTTTGTAAAATTAGTAATAATACATTCTCCTATCATAGGAGGAACCAGCTAACTTGAACCAAAACTGTTTATTCTACTGTGTCCTCTGTCCTGTGCACATCCTCCTCCTATTGGCTGTTATCACCTGAAATACAAGGCTGGGATTGGCTGTGCCTTTTTCATGCAGCCTATATATATATGTAATTGCATCCGAGTGCAGCAGGTTTGGTTTTACAGCATCTGGGGAACAATAGGTTTCTAGGATATATAAGCTTGTATAAACAGAGAGGGCACGCAGCTCGCTAAGGCTTTACTCACTCAGTGCTTGATTTGGACGAGGAGACGGTAAGATGGAAGACATTAAAGCAGAACAAAAGAAAGAGGAGGAATCTGGGAGTAGTTTATTTCACCTACTTATGACAAAGAAGACTGATCTAGAAAAGGAAGAGGTTTGTAAAAATACAGCTTAGAGTAGAGGCATGTTAGAGTTCTGAGATCTAAGTTGAATTAAGGCTAAATATCAAACAGCACATTATGTTTAACATATATAGCTTATTTGTACTTTGTGCATGTGTTCCCTCCTGTATGTGTGTGATATGTAACAAAGCACTTTCTGCTGTTGCTCTGCAGCTTTTCTAAGACTTTTCCCCGCTGTCTCCCCAGAGGATCGTGCTACAGCGGCTGATAGTGATTGCTCGGCTCCCCCACGACCTCGCTGACAGGACAGAACTTGGAGGTCAGCCAGCAATTACCTTAGAGCCACGAAGAGCGGGGGCTCGATAATAATAAGGCACTGCTATTCCACTGAGAAGATCCCTTCATCCAAATCAATGAACTAATCACCTTCTACCAATTTCATCTTGTTTTCCTTAAGGGGAGTGCAGGGTGATGGTAATTGGTGTTACAGATGTACTGATCTATGTGGAGAACCATCTATTTCTCAACTCTTAAAATGACAACAATGTGAAAAGAGCTGTGACAGACGGTCTTTTTCCCTTTGTTGGAGTTTTTACAAGCGTTCGCACCTCTATGAGAATGCGTCTGCAGGGCGTCCTGTCTGTTGGGCTTTTTCTAGTTGCTGCTTAGGAATACTGACCCATTAAAGAAAGGCTGAACTGTGTGTTAACGACAGAGACACTTTCAAGTTGTCAGGCTGCCTCATTTCTCACTTATCTGCAACAAACTGTTCCTTTGTTTGTCTCCACACAGCTCATTACGAGAGACTCAACTTTCAGCTCAGCAAACGGTATTCATGGGATCTGATGACGGGCCGGCTGTACATTTACCCATCCTGCCTGCTGCATATCATCGAAGTGAGTTTCAAGTGTCTATGAGGAAGATGTGTGTTGTGTTATCATTAAGGTTGCGTAGAAACTTAATCCACTGAATTACAAAAAATGTAATCGAATCTGAATACTTTTGGATACATTCAACCAAAAATGTAAGCTATTGCAAGTATTTTGGATTTTCAGGATCCACAGTTGGTTGAAACAAATGACCCATACAAGATTGGTGCAAACTGAAAGTGCAATGTGAGTGTTTTTACAACATTGGAGTTAATTAAATAAATACCAACATAAACCAACTAAACAAATGTATTCTAGTAATCACTGACCACTACAATCTTTCTATGCATTTGTTCAGATATAATTGCGGCTGCCTTTTATTTTTTGTATTTGATTGCTGAGTCCTCATTACTGTTATCCATTATGACTCAATATGGTGCACTTGCCTCTCTTCCAGTCATCCAGAGAGGTTCTGCTCTCTGTTCTGACGGACCTGAAAGACATGCAACACCAGACACACGGGTAATGATGCTTCATTCATCCTCACATGAAAAGTACACTTAGTTTAAGGTTGCAAAATAATCATGTATCATTTATATTATCTTCTTGTACTAAGTTAAATATTCAAACCAAAGACCCAATGTTCTTATGACTGCACAATTCCATCAAAAGGAAATATTGATTTATGTAGCACTCCTCCTTCCAAAGAGTGCTTTAAAGGAAAAAAGGAAACAGTAAAGGAGAGTGCAAATAAAAACAATAAGATCATAAAAGAATATTTAGTAAATGAAGTCATACCCTGCCAATGTCAAAGCACATAGACAAAGGTATCATGTTCGACAATGATGGAAACAGATGAATAACATACAACTGAGTGTGTTCTACCTGTGTGTGTGCTCATTTGTGAGTCGGTTTTCGACTTTATGTTTATGTGTAACTAGGTCCATAAACACCCCAGTGAGGTCACTGTAGAATAATGAAAAGTGATACAAATACCCTAAAACCAGACTGTTATATCTGGTAAACAGAACCATAAACATTGTTTCCATCTCTTTCAGTGCCTTGCTGGAAGCTCCCAGGGTTGTGTTCATGGCCCATCATCCTCAGAGCAGGCTGTTCCAACAGTGGAGCTACAAGGTGAGCTTTCATCTTTGAGGATGCATTCATATCAGTGGTGGATAGTAACACAGTACATGTACTCATGTACTGTACTTAAAGGTCCCACGTCATGCTTTTCTGGTTATTACCCGTCCCCTTGTGTGTTATGTAGGTTTTTCTGCATGTAAACGGTCTGCAGAGTCAAGAACCCTCAAAGTACACCCTGTAGCGAGTAAAACTCTAACACAGAAAATACCTGTCTATGCTGCCCCAGAACACCTCGTTGGAGATTTCTCAGTTACTTCCTGGGTATCGCTATGTAGGGATACCCAGTAGCCACGCCCAGAGAGCTCCAACAAGCCGTTTAGGACAAAGAGTGAATACACATACTATACAGAGATGCTGTATGAGAAACCAATGTGAGTTTGGAACATTGAACAATGTAAATCTATTCTAGTAGACCTCACAATGGAATTCTGATCAGTATAAATGGCCATGACATGGGACCTTTAAATACAATGTTGAGTCACTTTACCTGAGTATTCCCAGTTTATGCTACTTTGTACTCCACTACATTTAAGAAGCCAATATTGACATTTTTACTCCCCATATTTATTTGTCAGCTTTTGTAACTTACTTTTTAGGCTATATTATTAGCTAATACAACATCTAAATCAATGATTAATTAAACTTTGACATATATTTCTAGGTTAAGATATCAAGTAGCAGTATAACAAATTATTCAAATGAGCTCTTCATTTACCAGTTGTGATCAAAAGACATGAATAATCATAATAGTGACCCAGCAATTCAATATACAATTCTGAAATCGGACATTATAATACTTTTTACTTAAAGAGCCTGTGACACGAGTTTCCCCCATCATCCAAACCCATCAATTTGAGTAAATATTGTCCCCTTGAAAACCGTTACTGAACTGATTTTGGATATTTGTACTTTGATAACCATTAATCTGCCCTTCAATGTTGACCATTTCCTGGATCTTCTCGGGGATTCTTCAAGTCCCGCCAAATTACGTGTGACGTCATTGCGGGCACAGCGCTCCAGCTGCACCGTTCAGGATCCCAGCATCTGCATGTAAACGCACGATGGCGCACACAGCAGCAAGCTCAGACAGCGATGACAGTTTAATGTTGAACGTGTCTGAGAGCTCATATGAAGCTGAAGGATCGGTTTATGTTGTATCTGTTAGAAGTTTAGGAATTAGGTGCGTCAATATGGTCATGTGGTGGTGGACTGGGACTAAAAATCATCCCGGCCCACTTCAGTACCGCTAGTAAATTGTCCACGGGGGGAGTGGGGGATGTCAGGGGCGGCGGGTGCTGTAGATAGTAAATGTAAATATGTAAATATTTGTGTCACTGCATCCTGGTAAAATACAAATATAATGCAATGTCTGTGTCTTTGACATTAGCGCTGCTAAGTTTTTCGGTTCAACATACCCTGGATATGTTTGAGTAACAAACTAACTAACAACAACAAACTAACAAACGAGATCTCGCTAAACGGTCCTAGGACGCTGGTTATCAACTCGGTAAATCAAGCCAGGGTTTCTCTCACCAGCTGAGAGCGCGAGAGTCTAAGACACGAGTGGATCTGACTTTAATTACATTTGACTCGAGTGTTTCGTCAACATAATGTGTTGCTTAAAATAATACTTCTGCATACAGTATGTGACACTGTAAGTGTTGCACGGCCAGATACGGCTGGAGAAGCTGACTCATATAAGGAAATATATGATAGGCCTATATTATGATATTATATGATCGATGATCTGATTGATGATGTAATATGAATGATAAGTGCGACACGTCGGCGTCTTCTCTGTATTTCCTTTATCCTGTAATATGACTTGAGAGATTTAAACTCTGCACACTGAGTTGATCTCTTTTCTATAGATGCCGGAGGCGGGCAGCGTCAGGTAAAATAAGTTATTTAGCCTTCCCAAACCTGAGCCTCACGCGCCGCCTATGGGGGATGTGCTAGTGACTTATCCGACCGGCCCACTTCGGTACCGGCCCATCGGGATTCGTCCCGATGGCCAGTCCGCCACTTCATCCTGCCCACGTAAACTGTCAACGGGGGGAGCCTCGCTGCGGGGAAACGGTGGACCTAGTGTCCCGATCGGAGTGGGAATAATAATAATAATCCGTGCATTCTATCCATTAATTTCCCCAACATTGTGGTGAAAAAAACACACATTTTGAATCCATGTTGGTGAACAACTACAAAAAGCATCGGTTTGTTTTCTCATCAGGAAATGCAGACCGGCTCAAACAAACGATTTTTAATCATCATTCTCACGATCATTTAATCTATCATATGTTCGCCGAATTGACATGAAAGCACTAATTCATGTAGTTTCATCCACTTGAGTTTACAACTACAAAAATAATCGATTTGTTTTTATATCACATCCTACGGGAGGAAATTCAGCAGCTCTCACTACCGATTTGTAATCCTAATTTAATCATCATCTTCACCACGATCATTTATGTTTATGTTCGCCGAATTGACATGAAAGCACTGACAAATATAAATATACTGTAGTCAACTTCATTAAAACATTATTAACGTGCCTAAACTCAGTAATTCACCATTTCTACGCATGACAACACACTTTGTCCGTGTTTAGCTCTCTCGCCGCACAGTGAAGCGTTCCCGCATTGACGTCACTTCCGGCTTCCCCCAAAACTTCAAAATGAGTCGAAGGAATTTCCCCGCGATGTTCGAAATTATTGATATTTAACGGAACGATATCGCTTTTTCTTTTTTAAACTGACGGTTCGAGATTACTAGTAGCCCAATATTTCATTGCACAACAGTTGTTGGGATGCTGTCACAGGCTCTTTAAGTAAGATTTTGAATGCAGGACTTTTACTTTTAAAATGTAGTATTGCTACTTTTACTGAAGTAACACATCTGAATACTTCTCCCACACTGATTAATAGAAGAAAAAATAACACTGGGTGATACTTTAAATTGTCTTAGTATAGGTGTTGTTACAGCACCAGCCATCAGAAGCGTTCATTAACTTTCTCCACGCATTTATTTAGATTTCCCCTCTTCTATGATTTCCCTCTCTGAATTATAATCTGTATGCATGAGTTTGTTGCAGTGTTTGAGTGTTCCATGTTGTTGAAGGTGCTCGAAGCAGACCAGGTGGCAGGAGACCCTGGAGCGAAGGCTCTTGAGGATGAGGAGGAGACCACAGAAACGTTGGTGTGCACCGTTCTGTCAGGGCTGCAGAAACTGGACAAATCTAAAAAGGTGTGTTCAGTTTGATGGTCTCTTTAGGGATTGATGTACAGTATATGGAGGCCTAGAGCTGTCATTGTAGTAAATGATTCAAAAAGAAATAATTACTATAAGTATTAAATAAATGTAGCAATAAAAGCCTCAATCACTCAATAAATGTTCCTGGTCATTTACAAATAATATTAACTATTGGCTGTTAGTTGACAACATCAAGGCAACAAAATAAGTGAAAGAAAACCAGAAATAATTAGATAAAAATTGACATAATAACTTAAAATAAATATATACATTGAGTTTATTACAGTTTGTATTTATGAGAAAATGTATTCTTTAATTAACATTCACATTATTTTGGTGATTGAGGCTCTTTTTCTACTTTGCTTTCTGTCTTTTATTTTTTTATTTATCTTTTTTTATTAAGCTTTATTTATTGATTAAAATGGCAGCTTTGGTCCTCCATAGTCAGAAAAAACTAACACATTTTATTTCTTTACTTAAAAACATAAACTAAAGAAAATGTATTGATTTATTGAAGGCTGTTCCTGGGTCAGTGTGGGATGAGACCCCGGAGCTGATCGCTTCTCAGAGGGTTCTCTACAATCTGCTGGCTCGAGAGGAGCTCTTGACGCCTCAGCAACACCTTCAGATGTACAACTCACCGCTAGACATCCACATGGACTTTGGTAAGAGCAGATGATAACTATACAGAGCATCCGGAAAGTATTCATACCCCTTAACTCTTTTCACATTTTGTTATGTTGCAGCCTTATCTCAAAATGGATTTTTTTTAAAAAATGTTCTCAACATTCCACACACAATACCCCATAATGACAAATAGAAAACTTTTTTAAAGAATTTTTCACAAATGTGTTAAAAATAATCAAATGAAATATCACATGTACATAAGTATTCACACCCTTTGCTTTGCCGTTTCCACTGATCATCCTTGAGATGTTTCTATAACTTGACTGGAGTCCACCTGTGGTAAATTAAATAGATTGGACATGACTTGGAAAGGAACACACCTGTCTATATGAGGTCCCACCGTTGACAGTGCACATTAGAGCACAAACCAAGTCATGAGGTCCAAGGAGTTGTCTGTAGACCTCAGAGACAGGATTGTATCAAGGCACAGATCTGGGGAAGGGTACGGAAAAATGTCTGCAGCATTGAAGGTCCCAACGAGCACAGTGGTCTCCATCATTTGCAAATGGAAGATGTTTGAAACCTCCAGGGCTCTTCCTAGAGCTGGCCGCCCAAACCAAACTGAGCATCGGGGGAGAAGGACCTTAGTCAGAGAGGTGACCAAGAACCCGATGGTCACTCTGACAGAGCTCCAGTGTTCCTCTGTGGAGATGGGAGAACCTTCCAGAAGGACAACCATCTGTGCAGCACTCCACCAATCAGGCCTTATGGTAGAGTGGCCAGAAGGAAGCCACTCCTCAGCAAAAGGCACATGAAAGCCCCCATGGAGCTCCTAGAGGACTCTCAGACCATGAGAAACCAAATGGTCTGGTCTGATGAAACCAAGATGGATCTCTTTGGCCTGAATGCCAAGCATCATGTCTGGAAGAACCCAGGCACCGCTCATCACCTGGCCAACACCATCCCTACAGTGAAGCATGGTGGTGGCTGCAGCATCATGCTGTGGGGAGGTTTCTCAGAAGCAGGAACTGGGAGACTAGTCAGGATCAAGGGAAAGATGAATGCAGCAATGTACATGGAGATCCTTGATGAAAACCTGCTCCAGAGCGCTCTGGACCTCAGACTGGGGCGAAGGTTCACCTTTCAACAGGACAGCGACCCTAAGCACACCGCCACGATAACAAAGGAGTGGCTTCAGGACAAGTCTGTGAATGTCCTTGAGTGGCCCAGCCAGAGCCCAGACTTGAACCGGATTGAACGTCTCTGGAGAGATCTGAAAATGGCTGTGCACCGACGCTCCCCGTCCAACCTGATGGAGCCTGAGACGATCTGCAAAGAAGAATGGGAGAAACTGTCCAACGAAAGGTGTGCCAAGCGTGTAGCATCATGCTCAGAAGACTTGAGGCTGTAATTGCTGCCAAAGGTGCTTCAACAAAGTATTGAGTTAAGGGTGTGAATACTTATGCACATGTGATATTTGAGTGTTTTATTTTTAATTCATTAGCAACAATTATTTTATAACTTTTTTCACTTTGTCATTATGGGTTTTGTGTGTAGAATGTTGAGAAAACAAATGAATTTAATCCATTTTGAAATAAGGCTGTAACATAACAAAATGTGGAAAAAGTGAAGCGGTATGAATACTTTCTGGATGCACTGTATGCTTACTCATCCAACATGAATCTAATGAAAAGATCATTGTCTTTATAATAATATAATGTAATAATCTTGTTGATTTTAGCGATAATTCAAAGTGTAGAATGAAGCAAATCTGCACCAAGTAACATTTTGCTTAACTTAACAGGACAAGTGATCCGCAGCAGCCGCCTCACCACGGTTTAATGTTGTGGACAAAAGGTCAAAGGTAGGGAATCTCGTTATTTACTGTGAAACAGTTAAGGCTTCACCTTTACCTAGGACTGGTCAGTCTTGACACTTGCAAAAACAATGAGCTTGTTCCAATTGTATTCAGACATTCATGATGAACGGAGGATAAATCCTTAGAGAAAATATAAATCTGTCTGAAAAAAATCAGAAATACTTAATTATCCTGGGGGAATTTGGTTTCCCTGGCTGTAGTTCCACATTAGAATGATGACCCAATACCTGCAAAACTAATGGCCTTCCCATCAGGCTCAGCTGTACTTTGTGTTTACTGCTAATTAGCACCATGCTTAAACTCAAGATCATCAGCATGTTAGCGTTGTCACTGAGATCACGGTAGCATATTAGCATTGGCTTCAGAGAATCAGCATTTTGGCTGTAGACACAGTGCTTGAATTGGAATGAAAAAGGTGCCAGTACTCTAAAATCAGCAACTTTTTCAAGTCAATTTTATATATACAGCCCACAAACAAGAATTTGGCTACTATAATGCTGGTGGGTTTGTCTCTTTATTACTGTATATTTTAGAAAGGTTCACTGTACTTAACATTTTTTATGATAGGCAGCGGATATGGCTAAAGCTCAGTAAGGTCAATATTAACTGAAAATATAGCAATCAAAGTCTAGATCTTCTGCTGAAGACACATGAAGCAGAGACCTTTCAGGTGAGAGCCCCTCTGGTGGTGTTCAACATTAATGACAAGGAAACAAAGCTCTGGTCAGAAGCATTTTTTATAAAAAGCTTTAACAAAATTAAGTATTTCTGTACATTTTGAATGCAATCTAACTTTCCAACTCAGAAAACGAAAAAGTGCCAAAAGTCTTCTCACATGGCTGAGCTGCTTTGCAATATACTTCACCACTGAAGAATACAAATATGTATAAAGTAAACTATGATGCAATCTAACTTTCCAACTCAGAAAAATGATAAAGAGCATGAACAAAGAACATGTAAAAACAAATGCAAAATTTGCACAATCTAAAATGAGAAACTGTAACTGCAAGTAACAAAGTCTGAGCCATGGTAAAGAGTTACATTGAACACCAAGCTGATCAGATAACTCCCTGGTTGGTCTGAAGTCCTTCTATCTCCAGGATCTGTACAAATCGGCACATTATGCCAAAAGTCTTCTCACTGGGTGAGCTGCTTTGCAATATACTTCACATTGTTAGAAAAGGCTCCAGAAGGCCTTGGGGACATCAGTATCAGGGGCTGGAGCTGGACAGGCTCTTTCATCAGCACTTCTCCTTCCCTTTGCCAGCCAGGACCTCACATACTGTTCCGGATTGAACTGTCCTAGTGATGGTCCATTACATTTAATGAAAACCAGGCTGGACAGTCGGCTGACAGAGAGAGCATTCCTTTTTGCAGTAAGGATATCGTTCATGCAGCTGAATGCCCGCTCACACTCACTAGTGGAGACAGCGATGGTTCGGACTGCTTTCAGTAGAGGCTCCATGGCAGCAGGTGTACGGGATGCCCTGGTTTCCTTGTATTCGCGAAAGCCCTGAACAGTCTCTCTTCTGTCCACTTTCAGCACTTCGCACAAACGTAGCACCTCTACGTCCCCATACTGTACGTCTAACTCCTCTTCAGGCCAACTTCCAGGATGGATAACTTTCATGTCCTGGATTAGCTCCGGGCCTCCCGGCCATGTAATGGGATTTCTCTTGTGCTGACATGAGAGGAGGTTGTGGAAGTCATTCTGTATCTCAGATTCTCTACCATACTGCGGAAAAACTGACCTGCATGAATCTGTACAAGCCTGCCATTCTCACGCAGGGCAACACCCTTGAAGGACTTCTCAGCTAGAGCTGTATGAACTGTAGTCATGTGTGGGCCAGGCATGGTGATCATGGATTCAAAAACTCGTATTTCTCGAGTTAAGAGCCTATCTGCTGTAGGCAGTGTCATCTCTCTTTTTTGGAGTTGCCGAGAGAGGTCGCTGAGCTCTGTGAGCGCATCGTACATCAGTCCCAGATTGCTGACAAACGTTGCAGATGTGAGCACATCATCCAGGCCCTTGTACTTTGCTCTGTCTCTGGAATCCCTGCTCGTGTCGTTTGCAGCATTTGTGAAGTGATCATGAAGCACTCGGTAGTTTTCCCAGACTGCTCTGACGCTCCTTTCACTTGAAGCCACCCAGCGGATGGACAAAACACGCCCTATCACCAGGAGACGCTGTCCGACTGCTTGCGCACACTGCGCTAACTGCCTCTGATTTTTGGGGGAGGCATGGAACAAGGAATAGAGTTTGTCAAAAAAGATCTGGAAATGATTGAGCCCTGAGACCTCCTTGACCACATCCCCAACTGCCAGCTCTAGACGATGATTGGAGCAGTGCCACACAAACAGGCTTGGGAATTTACTACACAACTGGGTAGCAACGCCTGTTCTCTTCCCTAGCATGACTGAAGCCCCATCACATGCAAAAGAAACGAAACACTGACCTAAAAAGTCCTCGTTAAAATCTCTTCCAAGACACTCCATTAACGCCTTTGTGATGTCATCAGCCGTTGTTCCATCCAACTCGATCAGCTCCCAAAAAAAACGTTTCGGGCTCAGCATCAGCTAATGCTGAGCGTAGACACACAACAAGCACCGTTTTACCACTAATAGTGGTAGATTCATCGACCAAAACACAGAGTTTTCTTTGGTTTTCTGTAATGTCTTTTGCCATTTTTTTCTTCAGCTCATGAGCTATGTGGTCGATGATTTCGCCACAGGTTTTATTGGAGTGCAAAACCCTGCCCACGTTCAGCCCATTCAGTTTCTGTACATTCAAATCAATTGGCATGTCTGTGAATGGCCGGCTATGTTTGCCAATTTTATATGCCGTTCGAAAAACTCTGATAGTGGTGTCTAATTCAGATGTATGCATAGACTGCACTTGATGTTGAATAGTTTCACGTGAAGCAGATGTAAGGATGTCAGCAGCTTTTACATGGGCTTGTGATTCTTTATGTTCTTTGATTTTTTTTGTCAGGCTAGCTTGTTGTTTGCCCTTGTCAACACCGAAATGAGACACTGCACACTCACCCCATTCAGTTGACAGTTTCAGTCCTTGTCCAGTGTGTATTCCCAAAGATTTGACATCTCTGCATATCCGACATCCTAGCTTCTTATCTTTAAGAAGGAGCCATGCATTGGTCTTGCAAAAATATTGCACCTGGTCCGTTGTCCAGCAGTCAGGTGCATCGCTTTGCCCGGTGTTGGTGGTGGCAGTTGAGCCAGCAGCAGCTAACGTTAGAGGCTCTGGAGGAGGCGGCGGAGCTAGTGCTAATGCTAATGCACTAGAACTTGGAGCAGGAGGATCAACCAAAGAAAGCTCCCCATCAGACACAATTTCCAACACAGGCACAGCATTCTCTGTATTTGAAGTTTCTTCCGGCGACAACCGCTGTCTTTTTGCACTTTTATTAATCCACCTAACATTTTAGAAATGCTAATTTGTGACGTGACTTGCTTTCCTTCTCTCGGGGGCGTGCCTGCTCTGTTCTATCACTCTACATAGACACCCACTGGGTGGGAGTTGCACTGCATAAACACAACACACGTGCATCTAGGTATGTAAATTGTAAAGCATTAAAACATGGTTTTACTAACAGTTTTCAGTATGTTGTTACTTCGGCATTATTATTATTATTATTATTATTATTTTGAAACGTGTATTACTATTAAATCACGGTCAAATAGGTTAATTTTGACATAGTCGTTTCCACCACAGTATTTACATGGAGAAGATAAGCCCCGCCCCCTCTCCAGCACGTTCTGTTTGAATGACAGGAGTAAACAGCTGACAGCCGCTGTGAAACTCCAGCGGTTAGAGCGATGAGAATGTCCGTTCGGCACCTCATGACGCATCTACTGAGTACCGGGCGGCTGTATATATATATATATGGATGTATAATAAGAACGGCGGGAGAGTGTTGAGTACTGGCACGGTGCATGAGTACCGGAGTACCGCCAGCATGCCGGTACTGAGCAAGAAGTGCCGGTACTCCATGGGTCAGAACCAGAAGTGCCGGTACTGCGTACCGGTGAGTACCGGCCCAATTCCAGCACTGTGTAGACACTGAGTCTTGTTGTACTTTTCTCTGCATGCTGCAATCTTTGCATGCAGCACAGTTTGGTTTTAACATGACAGCTGTGTGTTTGAGGTTTAACGTTTAGCAGAGCATGTGAAATGTTCATCTTAGAGGTCTTCATGCTAGGTGCATTTCAGTGCTGTCACTGTCAGAGACTTGACATTGTGATTTACCTCGCAATTCAGAAACGTAATGGAGTGTTTTATGCCTCTGCAGAATGTTTGGCCTTCACTGAACTGCCTTGGATGGGACTGAAGGCTTACTGGAGGAGAGAAATCCCCGTGACAGTTTGATACCAACATGTAATATACTGCAGCTTTGTATGTGAAATAACAGTGACACCACATTTGCAACAAAGGCACAGAAACTCCAGGTAATATAAAAACATTTTTTTTAATAGTTTCAACATTCGGATGAGGTTAATTTTAATTCTATCTTACTGTACACTGTGTTCCACTTGGTGACCGGGAGATAGCTCGTCCAAGAAAAAGGCATTTCCTTACTCCAAAACTTTAAAGAGTCCACTACAGTTTCACACAAATCACTTTGAAGTCTCAAAAGATTCCTTGATCACTCATGTGTTCCCTTTTTATTTTGGCCCCCATTAATTGGAACATAAGGAAAAACAAGGAAAGATTGGAGAAGGATGTTTGCAATGGCTGCATGCACCACAGTGTCATCTACAATAGTTTGGGTTCAAACAAATGCAGCATGGTTTTTTCTTGCTTGCTATATGATTTTCTTGAACTTTTCTAGAGATTGTAGTCCTTTTGAAAGTGTAGTTTTCTGGGCACAAACATAACGACAGCTTGATTTCCTGACAGTGATCTCTGTTCTGAGCCAGATGTGCTTTTCTTATTTGCTATAGACACTGTATAAACACAGAAGATACATGGGGGAAACAGTAAATCATGATGGTTTCAAAACAAACTGGTGGAAAGTTGACTAAAAAAGGTCAGAGGGCACCACTAAATTCTTCTTTTATAAAGGTTGATCTATTCACTTATAAAAAATAAATACAAGCACATTTATATAGGACCAAAGATGAGACACATTTCATAGGCATGGTTTAAAAAAGCATGCTGCCGAGTTTCACACATCGAATCAAACGCCCCCCACACCTCCCGACCCAAAACTGACACTTTTGATCAATTACCCCACCACCCTCTTTTACTTGAGAATATGTCCACAACACAAACAGTCTGCCTTCATCACGACCCATGAGGTGAACATCGTCTATCACCAATACATTCCACCTATTCATGTAAAAAAAGGCCTTTCGTCTTTTTAGTGCTCAAAGGGCATGCTTGCAAAAGCTGTAATACTGGAAACTGTCTCCCGGCTGTCTCTTGCTCGACAGGGTTATTGTTAATAAAGTTGTGTTTGATGAATACTGTATGTACAAGCCTTAATCTGAAACCCTTTAGTACAAAACGAAGAGCAGCACACTGTAACACAGAAATCCAGACAAAGACAGGACACACCATTCACTTCAGCACAGCCAAAATGCAACAATTACTTTCTAAAGAAAAGAAAAAGAAACCCCTATTTCTAAACACTGGCATAGATGCTGTGTTGATTTAAGGGTCGGATTGAATCATTGGTGTGAATTGTAGCACAGCTGAAACATTAGGTCGATTTTTTTGATTGACAGAAAGTGTTATCTTGATAACAGGTTAGAGCAGAAATGCCAGACATTTTATCGGGAAAAAAAAAGTGTTATTCACAGCCCTTAAATATCCTGTTGTTTCTGTGCCTGGGAAACTTTTTTTGCAGGTTCTGATTTGTTCTTTTTTTATCTTTCACATATCTATCTAAGGTAACTGTAAAGATCTTAGTTTTTGTTTCGCTGTCAAACTAAAAGACAGCGGTGCAACGGTTTCATGCAGAGTCTCTTTTAACCTCTCAAACCCCCCTGCGTTACAGCTGCAGGTTGTTCGGACAAGCTTTGTGCAAGCCCACAGAAAGGTATTTGACATTTTAAACAAGATCCGCACATTTAGACAAATATCAAATATGCTGGATTCTCTGTTGGAACATCTTGAATTCTCCATTTGAAGAAATGTAGCATCATGTAGCTGCGAAGATGTGTTAGAACAAGCTAATACAGAAAGGCAATATTATTCAACTGCAAAGCTAAAATGAGGGTTCAAGAGGTTAATTCTTATCTGCAACACAAGCACGATCAGCAGGTTATATTAAGTAAATCTAAATCTAGATTAACCTTGAGCCTAACGTTTTTTTTGTGTGTGAATGTGGCGATATTGTGCTAGAACCAGCGACATATTTTTCAATGCAGTATTTTCATATATCTATATATATATATTTGATTTCTCCCCTGCCACTATATCCAGAACTGGTATGTACAGCGGCTCACTATTTACAAAAGTCCTGTAAGTGATATTTGAAAGATAGAGGGCGGAGCAGCACAGTGACTTTGAGGCCATGTGTAGTGGATGTTTTCAGGACATTATGGAGAGTCAAATCTGGATGGGTCAAAGTGAAACCCCCCACAAGGCAAATGGCAAACTGCTGCTGTCGAATGCAAACCTTGTTACTCCAGTTTTATTGATTTTCAAGTTTTCTGCTTCCTGAAAAGGTTTCGATGCGACAGCAGGGAAATTCTGGTCCCATGTTTAGTTTTTTTGAGATGAGATTCATGTGTAGTGGAAACAATCACAACTCTTCAGACCTAGTAAAAAGTATTCAGAAATATATCTGTATAAATACTCTCATTAAAATAAACACATACATATCTTTGCACTTGCCTCTGGTTCACTTATATCGACCGAAAATACCAGCATCATCAGACAGGGGTCTGGGGGGGGGGGGCTGCCAGAGAGAAAGGTGTGCTTGTTTTTGCCTCTGAGGCTGCAGGCGACAAAAATAGCACCTTTATTTCAGGGAGTGTGACTGTTTTCAGTTGAGATACGATAGGACGTTATTACACCTCAGGGCAGGAGGATGAGATCTCATCCCGCTCAGCTGAACAACACCTCGCTGGGAGGACTCTGCAGAGGTTTGGCGTCACAGAGGGAGCCTGAAGTGTGCCGTCGGAGTGTCACGTGAATGGTGATGCTGCTCTGTGACGCTGGATGAGTTAACAGGAGTTGGCTCACAAGTTTACCTTATCAACTTTCAACTTTGATATGTCAGTGTTGAGTTTACAGTCTTTGTCACTTGTCTGTTGAATGCCTGATCTTTATTTTGAATACAATATTTTCTAAAAAGACCCTTTGATTTTACTTTTCATAAATGTGTGTCTTCCTATCATAATTCACAATGGTTGTGTTCCTTGCTTTATCATTTGCTATTCAAATGTTGTCATCACTTAGTGGTTGACTCTTCATATTTATTCCAGCAGTATGACATAGGGCCCTGTGGAGTTTTTGATCAGTAGCAGCGCTTTGGGACTACATTTTGAGGTACAGGTGGATACAGATGATATTTTCACTTAGCTTCAATCATTTCAAAACAGATTTACTTATTATCATTTAGATTGATATTGAAATTGCGACATTATTCACGATATTGGAGGGGATTCTTTTTTCAATAACTAAATCATCACATTTTGTTATTTGTTCTGTAACAAAGATTTTCCAAAAAACATTATCATCAAGATACGTTTTGTATGCCAGGACATCTCTACAGCACCACAATACAGTGACATGTTAAAGATATTATATTGACACATATAACAAATATTTAAGTCCAAATTACGATTTCAGCTCTTATTTGCACAACTGATTCAATGAAGGTGGGACACAAATAACAGTCCCCTGCCGATCTTGTGCAATTCCACTGATTTGGTGGTCATCAATAAGCCCTCAGAAGCAGAGAAGTAGAAAACTGCAAGGACATAGACCTCGCACTCTTCTAAAGGAAGGATATGCTTTCAATCGCTTTGCTTGTGTCTGGTGAGAGACACAAAATGTGAACGTAACTTCTGTTCATTTACGAGAAAACTCCACAGGACACCTCTAAGGAACGTCCATCCCACAGAGCAGGAGCCGCGGTCCTGCCAATAGATAACAGCTTCATAATTATTCATTTCAGCAAATGTCCCCGTGGCACACTCCAGGCATCATGGACTCTCTGTGGACCCTGCTCCACAGTCTGCAAACTGGAAATGACTTATTACATGGAGTTTTTCATTTCCCAGCCTGTTTGCAAAAGCCATCCAAACCCTTTCAATTTGTACCTGTATGTATCTCATATGTTGAATAGAGTTCTGACAGCATCTACTGTATGCTATCTGGAGGAAATTGTATCGTTATAGCTCTCCTTTAGATACAAAATAGGATTTGATCTGATTTAAAACCTTAATTGTATATATTCTGAAAATGTACAATATAAACAATAAATATTCAGTGATTGATATCCTGATTGATGTAAATACAGATGAGTGTGATTGTTTTGTTTTTTACCTCTTTGCAACCTGGTCGTTTCCTAAATCTCTAAAACATGCATTCCTGTTTAAGCGCCACAACACCAACAGTGCAACATCAGATAGTACAACACACACACACACACACACACACACTTTCCAAAACGACATACTGGCACACTCACAGTGAACGCTCAGGCGGGACACATACTCAGGGTTGTTGCCTCCACAGGCATTTCAACTGATACCCCTGAGGGATGAAGAGGAATGTGAGATGGGAAACAAACAGGAGGAGGCAGATGTACAGTACTTCTTAAATTCACTCAGGAGGAGCAGCAGCAGAGCGCACTCATCCCTCCCAGCAGCCTTTAATAACACATTATGTAACAACTCCAGAACATGTAGTGCATTTCCACTTCATGTAATAACAGCAGCATTTGGTCAAGTCAACAGCTTGAATGCAAAATGTAAAACATTTCCCCGCATTTTGATGTTAATTATTATACTAAAGTGGTATTTGCAAAAATATTAAGCTATTTTATTGAATGAAATGTAAAAGATACATTATATAATAACCAATTAAGTCTTCATCTGTTCTTTAAAGACGGCTAAAATTACATTTGTAGATTTGACCAATGACATAAAATCTACCTAACTAATTGTATATTTGCAAATGAGTCAGGATGCATATTAGACTTTTTTGGAATGAAGACGTGCATTTAGGTTTGTAATACTTAGATAATGTATTATTACATATTAATGAATAAAAGGGTTCCGGGTTTTCGTGATAAACGTATTCGTTATAAAATGCGGAGAAATTAATTACATTTTGTGCTCAGGCGGTTTTTTACAAAATGTTGCGGATTATTACAAAATGACACAAAAATGTGTGAAATCTTTCCTGGTTGTTAAATATTGTGTTATTACATAATGCCTTTTCCAGTCTCGTGTGTGAAGTTAAAGGCAATATTGCAAGTGAATCAAATAAGACAAAAGACATTAAAATAAAAACAAACAGTAAACACAAAATGTCAAAGTATGTGTCTGATTAAAAGTCCCCTGACAACATTGTCGCCATCGCCTCGTGTGATCCGGATTTATTTTGGGTATCTTTTGTTGTTTTCTCACAGTTTCACCCCTCTGGAGCACAGTGAGGTGTGACGATGAGATCCAGAGCGAGGCTGTAAGCAATCCAGTGGGAGAAGTGAAAAGGTCAATGTATGAGTGTGTGCCAGGGGAGGAGGGGGGGGGGGGGGGGGGGGGGGGGCTCAGTGGCGTCATAGCACTGTGCTTTCAGACTCTTCCTCCGACTCGGCTTTGAAGCCCGTGGGTTCACGCAGTGCCACCGAGTTCCTGAAGGGGGAGATGTGGGGCAGGTCGAAAATACAGTTCAGTTCCACGTCGATGATGGGGATGTCCAAGTTGCAGAGACAATCTGGCAGGGCCAAAACACAGACAGGAAATCAGTGAAAGAGAGTGAAATGACAATACTGTTGATGTGGGTGAAAGAAAGCTGGATGATGGTACACACAGCAGGTGGGTCATTATAAACTCAGACCATTGAACCAAAACAAAGCATGAAAGGGGTGCACGATTTACAAGGTGCACAGTATGTCATGGGGGTGTCTGCATACTTGCTTTTGGCCATGTAGTGCATTCATTTGAATTAGTTCAAATAGATAGTAAAGACTTTTTTAACTTAACTTTTCTTATCACAATACTGAGTTCAATGCTCGCCCAGCGCAACAGAAATGATTACAATTACCTAATTTTATATAGTTCCATGCAAGGCGAAAATATACTGACGTTTAATCCTTATAGCATGAGTCAAGCTTTAGGAACCGTAGATCCCACGATGCTAATATCTGTATCGACTCATCCCCTATCTATATACCCATTGCTAACACCTGATTCAGACATGATCAATGATCAATATAAAAAGGCTAGTCAATCCAGTGAACACTGTCGGACCCAGACCATGAGATCAGTGTAGTCATCCTTGTGTATGAACTAATATATTGACCTCAGTTTTGATGCAACAGTGTAACACATGTGATGAAGATCTGCACAAACAGGAAGTGTGCAGACTGAACAGCGATGGTGAGGGCAGTGAGGCACAACACTGTGGAGTTGGAGGGGATGGTATGGGGGGGCATCTGGAGCAGGGCATTATGATTGGGAATCCTGAGGGCAGAGAAGGTTGGAGGTTTTTGGCGACCGCCCCGGTCTGTTTAGCCATGCATCGCATCGATCTCAGCCGCCATGCAAAGGCTGAAACAATGGGTTAAAACTGGTCTGAGGACAGCTGCTGTATAGAGTGCTGCAGGATGACTCCTAAAACCTGGAAATGAGTCAGCGCTTTGCACTTCAGGTTCCCTAGTCTCATAGTCAGGGAATAAGAAAAAGAAGTATGTCATCCCTGCAGCACTCTACATACATAATGAAAGGTAATGTACAATAAGGAGTGCATTAAGAGTGAGGCTGCCATAGAGCGGGGAATCAGACAGAAGCCTGATCTAATATCTGCATCTACTGGCAACCTCACCCTACTGAGAGCTGACTCCATGGCAGGGGGGTTGGAGGGGTGGGGGGTGAGGCTTTAGCACAGGAACTCCTGCTTACCCTAAAAGTCCCTCTCACACACGGCTCATACCGCTGTAAGTGAGACAACGAGAGCAGTCGACAAGAGGGGACAAGTACAAGAAAATACAGTTGAAACTTACAGAGGTAAATAATCAGATAAAAAGAGTTAAATCCAGAAACAGCCAACATGAAATAGACATATATTACCATATCATATATAATGATGATTTTCAACAAGTCCCATGAAAAGACACCATTTGACTTCCCTACCTTTAAAGACTTATTATTATTCTTTTCTTTTCTTTTTTTAATGTGTTTTTGGAATGCATAGATTGAAAACAACCAAACTGAATTAAATTAACTAATCTAATCTCGACTAAACTAATCTAAACTGAACTATATACTAATCTCAAGTAAACTAATCTAAACTAATGATTAATTCACTGCCAGGTTGACATTTTGAAAAGTCAGAAATATATTAGTTATCAAAAGTTTATGGTAACTCAGTGATAACATTGAATCAATAATTCATTCATAAATGTATGACCTGTTAAATAATCTTGTAAAATCTAGTTGAACTGAAGCCAAATTATAATTTATGCAAAATAACAAAATCATACCTTAGAATAACCAGTAATTAATGGGCTAAGGTAAATGCAGTGAAATCAGAGTGAGTATTTCTAAAAAATACTTCAAAGCTGTACTTGTACACAACAGGTGTTATCTGTATCATACACCTTACCTGTGGACATGCTTTCCCCAGGAGACAAACCATCCAGGAGGCCTGAAGAATGATCCAGGGGCTGGGGGCTGGTGCCGGGCGTGCTGGGGGGCTGAGGGGGGGGTAAGCTGGGTCTCTGCCGGGGCGGCTTGGGGGTGGGCCTGGCCTTGGTGAGGGTCCCGGCCAGTGAGGGGGGAGAGGAGAGAGACGGGGTGGAGGCCAGCTGGATCTGTCCCGGGGAGCCGATGGTGGCGTATCCCTGCGGGTAGCTGAAGCTGTACGGGGAGGGGGTGCTGGGGGGGGTGGGCGACAGGCTGACAGGGGACGGCTGGCCTGTGGACTGGTCCGACATGGCTCCTGACTGGCAGTACGGGACTTTGGGGGGGATCGGGGCCAGCTTCTTTGCTGCAGAGAGAACAGAAAAACATGTTCCTGTTATATAAATATTACAAAACTGCAGTGAGATGTTACACCTGTTGAGCAATATGGAGCAGAGCCACTGCTGGAGATCAGCTGTCAAAAGAACCAGTTTGAAGAATAACGACAAAGCAAGAACAGGAAAAAAATGATTTAAAGGTCACCTATCATGCTATTTTTAGGCAATAGCATAGGTCTCCGATATATAAAAAACATGTCTATGAAGTGTTTTACTCAAAATACCAAACAGATCACCCATTCTAGCCATGCCTCATATCCCTATATTTCACTTCCTGTTTCAAAAGTGCTGATTTTGGGTATAAAGCTTTTTAAAAAAAAATGTATACAAAAAGAAAGGAGGGGGCTGAGCTCATGCGGGACCCGGCAGCTACTGTCTAAACTAAATACTGCCGTGATGAAACGCCATATCATGGATTATCAAGGATTCTCTCTGAAACAGTATGGAGCTCAAGGCTTTCTCTCTTGCCGGTTATACCACAAGGTGAGTTCCTTTTTACTTCCTGCTTCTTCACACACATGCTCTCCAGTACAGGTTAGCTCTGAGTGTTAGCGATGCTAATGTAAACACCGACCATACGTCCAAAACAGTCGGGCATTGTTTCTGATAGCAACATTTCAGATAGTGCCGTGGGTCCACATTTCAGATATTACGTCATATCGGACGCAAATCTGGATCAGCTCCGTTGTACCCCCGTTTTTAGAGATTTGGGTACAGAGGAAAAGAGAGAGGGTTTTATTTTCTGAGCTGCGTGTGTTCCCTGACACACCGGGGACACATATTTATGTATAAAAGACATCAAAAAGTGCATTTTGCATGATAGGTACCCTTTAAGAGGTTTTGGATTATTTTAAAGATATTATCATGAATGAGTAACATGACAAATATCGCGACCGCCCTAGTTTAGACTAATGGAGGGGTCAGCGCTCAGCATTGGCGAGCCGTCAGGGCCCTCTAGGCCCTCTGTGAGGGCCTAAGATATTCTAAAAAATAATATTTGAAAACATAAAAAAATATATATATATTTTAAAAATATTTTTTTATATATTTTGTTGTTGTTACATTTTTCATTAGTTTTACCAAAATAACTTGATTTAATTGTATTTAAAATAATATTTCCAAAGAAATAAATCCTTCGAATCTGCCTCTTCAGTTTCTGTTGGAATGTTTAGGGTTAAATGCCGTCTCTGCGAGTTATGTGAAGACGGGAGGGATTGTTGGTCCCTCTCTACATTCACAGAGGGCCAGCTATAGTAACTCAACGAGAGAGTAATGTCAAATGACAGTACAATTGACCAATCATATCTTCCCTCTAAATGGGCTGGCTTTATTTTCGCGGACTTTATGACAAGTTCCGCCCGCTGTGAGGTCTCTGGGTCTATGCCATGGATGTAGGTCTATGCCAGAGCCCTTATCTCTCTAGGGCTCTGGTCATAGGCTCTGGTCTATGCAAGTGGTGCAGTGACGCCTCCTAAAACCCGGAAGTAAGCTTCGCTCTGATTCCCTCGACAGAAAGCAATGGGATTTCTCCATAGGATTTTGGAAAATAGCTCGAAATAAGGTCTGTGGAAAACGAACCTGTTAGATAAATGCACGTTGTGTTCAGCCGGATAATATCCACATGTCTATCCTACTTTTATTATTTTCGAATCATAAATCTAATCGATAGATTTATGATCGATAGATTTATAATTAGCATAAGTTCGTTCATGATGGCTCACTTCAGTGATAGTGATGACATCGTTGCGAAATTATTAACCGAGTCATTTTCAAGATTGAGTTACAATGATAAACTGGAGTGGCAAAGGATCAGCTGAATGACCCGCAAGTGCTTCATCCAAAAGGACAGGAGGATGGACTTTGTGTTTAAGTGATTTGATCATCAAAGGTAGGCCTAAGTCATTTTCAATGCGGGCCACAGTGCCGACTTAATTCATTTGTAATTGTTACTTGGCTGTGGCCATCATTACCTCTCCTCAGGGTGTGGGGGCTGTGATCAGATCCACTAGAGGTTAGCGTCCCCTGCAGTCCCTGCAGTCCCTTCTGTCCAATCACTGGAGACAGCTCCTTGTTTTTTAGAGTACTGAGGACACATTGAAGGAGAAAAATACACACAGGAATTACAAGCATGCTCATGCATCTTTCTTCTCTTTAATAACATGCCATACAAAATATGAGAGGACCCATAGTTCAATGTCAAGTTGCCTGAGTGATCACTGTAACAGGCCAACATGTAGTACACACTGCGGGGCAGCAGAAGCACTTCAAAAATCCCAAATAAACTGTAATGGCTTAATGGATTTTCCTTAATGTTGCAGTGCAGTGCAGCCAGAATGCCAATGGGAGGGCGGCCTGAAGGTCAAACATCACCAGTTTACTCAGCGGATGAGGCATGAATGGATGACTGAGGCTGCTGGGATTTAAAGATGGAGTGGAGCAATGCACATGGGCATCCATGGGCTTAATTTCAAAGTCTACATAAATTGGGCCTCATGCTGGAAATTCACTTAAATTCCTCTTATAATTTATTTTCATTTTCACTTAAGAGAAGAAATAACAGAAGTCCCCTCCATTTGAATCAAAGCTGCTTAACAGTCCATGTCTGCTCTGATCATGAATTGGAGGCATGTGGTTGATTATTGACATGGCAGGTGTTCTGCCATGAGCAAACACTAATCATTCAATCACTCTGATATTGAAGTTTTGTTTTGTTTTCTCAAATTCTAGTATGTCTCCTTATGTTGGACAGACCATTTGTGTACTGCTAACACAAGATGTTTTTCTTATCTTGGTAAAAGTGCCCCTCGACTGCTTCCAAAATGTTCTCTTATCTAAGAGTAGAGTAAGACATGTGTAAATCCCAGAAATCAATGGGTACCTAGAAAAGAGAAATGTGGATACAAAGGGAAAAAAAAGAGGAAATGTGTTATCCTAATCACTTCCTGCATGAGGCCCATTGTGTTGCTCTGATCTTGCAGTCTACCACTCAAGGCTCACTGGTATGACTCATTAACGCCCACTTTTTATAATGGTATGCACCGAAAGCCTTGAATTTCCTTTGTTGCCTGGCAACCGCCTCCTGAATATCCTGGCAACATGGAAAGTTATGGATTGCATTTATGGCAATTATATGAAAAGATGGATGGATCTGATAATGGAGATCCTAAAGAGCATAGATTTTCCTTGACTGACGGATACACTACGGAGGGAATAAAAGAGAACAAAGAACAGGGAGCTGCTGGGAGGATCTTAATCTCACATCATCCCTCTCTCTTCATGTGTGTGTGAGCTGTGTTGGAAGTTGGAGCGAGTTCAGCAGGCTTCTGTATTTACCTAGTCAGCTTGGCTCCTCTCTCTCGGCTACAGGCACAGGCTGCCCATGGAGGGGGAGCAGAGAGGGGGGTGTTGGGGGGCTTGGGGGAGCCAAGGAAAAGATCTTGACGAGTAAGAACGAGCGGGGGTTTGATGTAAAGGGTGGAGCCATTCGCTTCGGACGGGGCCGCATGCGACACGTCGGGCAGGGACGCCTGTTTTGGCAGGTGCAAGGAATTGGGTTTGGGGTTGGAGTTGACGTCAAGCGGCTGGGGGGACGGGCTGAGGGAGTGGGGGAGCGTGGGCGGGCTGTAGCCACAGCAGCGGGAGGGAGGTGAAGGGCCAGGGGGCACAGAGTTGGGATTAGGAGCAACGGGACGCACACCCAGAGGTGCACGGGTGAAGTGATGGTGGTGAGGGAGCGAGAAGGAAGAGCAAGAGGAGGATGAGGAGGAGGATGAGGAAGAGGGGTAAGGGGGAGGCGGCCTCTCCTCCTCAGGGGAGGGGTAGGCATAACCGGAGTCCGACCAATTGGAGGATGCATCATCCGAGCTGCAATGATAAACACGTCAATGTTTCATGGGGTTCGAGCTGCAGAGCTGAGTGCAGGGAGGCATTACAGCTTAAGACTGAGAGCTGTGGGATTTATTGTTAGGACAGTTTAAGTTTGGGAGGAAATCAGGCGAATATTAATTATTGTGAGAACAGAGGAAACAATATGGAAGAGATGGGAAATAAAATAAAACTGAATCACCTCATCCATTGCAGGGCTTTGCGACAATGGACTGTAAAGCTGTTAATGATGCTTGGACTAATGACAAAAAAACAAAACAGATATAGTTCATGCACATGCAGCAATGAAACACTCAACTATGGATGAACTTTTCTCAACTTTGTTTCCACATGTTACATGAAACAACCTAAGGACAAGAACACATCTTAACATGATATAGAGTTACACCACTCTGGCACATCATGTTTCTTCCAGACGTGGCTACTTTATGAGAGAATTAGAGATGAGAAATGAACACCAACTTAAAAAGGGACAGTTCACCTGAAAATGAAAAATACATATTGTTCCTCTAACATGTAGTAGTATTGATGAATCTAGATAATAATAAAAATAACTAAAAGACAATAATGTACTTCTCTCTGACTGGTGATATGGTTTCAGCATGCAGTTTAGCAGAAAGAAAATAGTTCCTATATCAAACTGCTCAGTCAGTGGATTATCTCTAGTAACTGGGCCATTGATGTTTACATGTTTACTACAGGTAAGAGGATGAATAGGTATTTTACATTTTAGGGTATTACATTTTGCCCTTTTTAAATCAATGACATAGTTTGACATGACATGCTTCATCCGAGGTAAGACACCGGGGTTCATACAGAGGTGGGGACGAGCATTTTGTGGGGGAAAACAGCAAGAGACAAGAAGAACGTGGAGCAGACGGCGCTGTACGGGGGTCAGTTGCAGGGCACGCGGGTGGGTAGGGGAGCAGCAGCAGGTGGGAGGAGGTTAAGGCTAGGGGGGGGGCACGAAAGCCTTACCTGGCTCGATCGCTGTTAGTGGGAGGAGGGGTGGGGGAGGGGGAGGCAGAGAAATCCCCAGCAGGCTGCTCGGGGGTGAGAGCGTCAGTGGGGGCGACGGGGGGGTGCACGCTCGGCGGCGTGGACGAGCATTTACGCGAAGAAGACGAGCCCCTGCGCGCCACCCAAGTAGTGTCCATCACCCTGACACCCATGCTGCAGTGGGACAGAGATGCACAGCCAATCAAATCAAGGGAGGGTGTGTGTGGTTTAGGGGGGGGGGGACCACACCCTACACAGATCGTCAGGGATGCTAAAAACGGAGGAGCTTCCCTGTCCATCGTATGAACCAGTGTCACTCCATTCACATTGTATTGCATGGGTGTACTTGTGTACCTGAGCATGCACAAACAGAGAACATTTCCCCTACACAATGTTTAACTCCCTCATGTATGACACATTCTCCTGTAGGATGACAATGTATGAAGTTGAAATTAAGTGAAATTGTGTGAAAACTGCAACAAAAAAAAGAACAGTTTGATTGAAGTGAAGAAGTACATGAAGATGTGATGGTCCTATTTGCTTTGTCTGTCCATTCAACTGAAGCTAGCATCTAGTTAGCTTAGCTTAGCATGAAGACTCAGATCAGCGGGGCTGTGTCCAAAGATGAGCATTTACCAGCACCTCTATATCTCAAATCTAAAAATGTAACCACACGTAAAAAGGAGTATGTTATGCTGGAATATATCTTGGTCGAGACTGAGTAATGACTTTCTTACAATTTGTCCACTAACTTTTTTACATTAGCTAAAAACATGGCGGGTGACAGTAGGCCTATATGGGATTTGTTGGTAATGCGTACTATTTTCTAATGTCATTTGTAATATGTTATAAGGTTGTAACCATTATTTGCTGTTCGCATAGGGTGATCTATTTTAGTTACAAAACCTTGTTATCAGCATTAACTCTGATAACAGTGGTGATTTTAGGTAAAAAAAACACATTTTTAAAGCTAGCCAGAATTGAGAATACATCTTTTTGTAGCATCCATTCTGTTTCACGTTCATTATGCTTTCAAAATCTTAACACACTGAAGTTAGAAAAACGACGTTCTAACTCGGTAGATCGGACAATCTAAGGAGCATGTGAATGCACCACAAGAGGTGCTGACCTTTCATCTTTTTACCTGGCTAGCTCCACCTACTTCGAGTCTTTATGCTAAGCTAATTGTGAGCAGGATCATATTTAACGAACAGAAATCTTTTAAGAGTATCTCCCAACATTTTTTAAAATATTTTTGATAGAAATAACAGGAAATAACCTAACTCTGAATAGGACCTATAAACAAGAGGCTATTGTACTCACAGGCTGAACAAGTTTATCCAGTACCAGAAAGATGCTACTTATGTAAACACAGAAAGAAAAGCCTGCTTTGTCCATGCCCCCCCTTTTGTCCCCCCGCTCTCTTAGAAACATCGAACTATAGGAGTCCAACAGGCAGACCTGCTCAGAGCATTAAACACACACACGACAAATGAGCGACACTTCCTGTCAACGTGCAGCTGACACAAACAGATGATGAATAGACCGGTGAGAGGATGACTCGGGGGGGGGGGGGGGTGAGGATCTATACTGTACCTTTGTATCTTCCTAATGCTGCATAGTTAAAAACAGAGACAAGCACAATGAGGACACGCTCATTAACAGCACTGTTATCAAAGCAGCAGAGCAACTTTGGCAGGATCAACCATTTAAGACAAGAGCCAAGAAAGAGGAACAAAACGGGGGGCTGGCCTGGCGGGGGGGCTGAAGGGGATCAGAGTCACGCTGAGTGTAATGAGGAGAGCGATCTGACGGGTGATGTGTGCTCTCCCTGGAGCGCTTCAGCCACGTGAAAACCCAGAGAGAAAATGATAGTCCCATTAACGCTAATTAGCTCATAGTTTCCCTAATGGATAGCAGAAAATCCCCCCCAAAAAGAAAAATCTGGTTCATTCATGCATCACGCTGAGTATTTAATATCCATGGTTCAACTACAATGTTATTACCAAAGATATTTGGACACCCTTTATTTATGTTTTGGTGGCTGTTCTTCATGGTTTTACCCCATAGTTCCAGTGGAAGGATTATTTTAGACAATATTGAGCATCCAAATTTTGAGCAAAGCTTGGGTAAGACCCTTTCTCGTTTCAATGTGGTGATTCCCCCATGTACAAGTCCAGATTTCTGGCCAATGAGCCCCTGGGCACAGACATGTAAAGGGCCCCAAGCCCACATTCCGAACAACAATAGCAAACAACATTGAGAGACATCTTTTAGGTCATTGTGTGTTTGCATTCGTTTTGCATCGCTTTATAGATGTTCTGCGTTTTTCAAGGTATTTCTGTGTCTTTTTTTGGATCTCTATGTAGCCTTTTTGGCTTGTTGTTGTTGTTGTTGTTGTTGTTTGGTTGTTTTTCACTTCTTTGTAGTCGCTTTGATGATTTGGAGGTGTCTAGGTGTCAGTTTTGTGTCAATTTGTGGCTATTCTGTGCCTATTTTTAATTCTACACAAGATGAAGAAATGTTAGCAGGAACATAAACAGCTGCTCTGAGACAGGGCCGATATGAAACATAAAAATCTCATGCATTACTCTGATATCAAACTTTTGATCTGACTCTCTGCAGGTAAGTGGCTTCTACATGTTTAAATATTTTTGGACTCAAAGGGCATCGAAGGTTTTTGTAACTGTTGACTTTCTTATTGCACAAAAGATATTGCTTGACCAGCTCAAGTTCTTTCTTGTTATGTCCAGACTACCTATAAATTGTTTTAACTTGCCAGATTAATGTAGAGGATATGTGCAGCATGTGTCCTTCAACTACTCCTGCTCCCTACAGAAAATAAAGGGGAAATGATCCCATCTTTATTCTTCACATGTAAGCAGACAGATCCTCTCGAGCAGAACATTTGAGTGTCTGGAAGTCAATTAAGTATTTGACAGCAGTGTGCACTACGTAGACATTTAAAGTCAAACTTTATAGCCATGTACACTGCTAAATTTAAAAATATTTTATACAGAAAAACTCTAATTGGAAGGCAGGTTAGCTGTGCTGCTGAGCCTGCTAATTCTGAAGAGTGTGTTTGTATTGTAAGCTGGGTTCTATTGATCAGATCTAACACACACACACACACACACACACACACCACGTCCAGGTTTAATTAGCGGGCCGCATGTGGTCTCAGGGCTGAATCAGACTCAGACTCGCCGCGGGGCCTGATAAGGGTGTATGAAAGCATTAAAGAAAGAGACAGTGAGACAGACAGAGAAAAGAGAAAGAAAGCCACCCTCTGGGCCTCGGCTAATCCTCCTCCACAGCTCCAGGATTGTCAGATTCCTCATTTCACAGACTAAATGTCATCTCTTTCTCTTTCTGTTTTCTCACTTTCTCCCCCCGCTCACTAGACTGCAGATACGAGTCCTTCTGTCCACCTCATAGTGAAACTGAGCTTTTCACTGCGGTCCCCTCTTACATTACACTTGTGTAATCATCAGTGGGGAATTCTTCTCCTGTTTGAAGAGAATCATGCAGAAACTTGACTTGCCTAGAAGTGTGGATGGTGTGTAGAATCACTGGGAGCTCTTACACAGTTTCCTGTCTTTGTTTGATTTCAAGACAGTTTTCCTCAAAGTTTGTTTGCCTTTGAACTCTCATTCTTCTTGTTTCAAAAGCATATTGAACCCAACATGGCAGCTTATTTAGATGTTATTTAGAGGATACAGCACCATGTTAGATTTCATTGCTGCACAAAGTCTTGGATCATTATTTTATCGACAGCAGTTCTTGAATGTAATCAAATACATTTAAATTGTATGTGGTTATGTACAATTTTGAGGTACTTACTGTACTTTTTTAAATAACAGCTTTAATACTTGAAATGTTTTCTTTATAATAACTATTTATGTTTTTTTATTCATATTAATTGTATTATTACTTTTTGCATTTACTAATATATTTTAGAATCTTTTGAAAGCACTTTAGAGCTTTATTTACAGTTTATTCATCAACTTTATTTATAGAGCTATCCTGCTTAATATATTCCATTTGTATTAGAACAAAAAATATTATTACTTAGTTTTACAATTTTGTATACTATTACTATACTTCACTAAACTTTAGTGAAGTTAAATTAACTTCACAAAAAATTGTATATCTGACTCTTAATAATTTTCTGACAAAATTAGTTACTTTTTGTATTTATATACATTCATGAGTGAATTTCACACTCCAATGATAGAAGCTGATAAAAAGAAAGTCCTGCTTATTTCAGACGCTAATTTGCAATAAATTATCCTATGACTTACTTAAGATTAACAATAAACAGAAATGGATCGTAGGTGCTCTAGAGGGGTCTTACCCGTCCTTCTTATAGAACTCCAGCATCATGTTGTCCGTGGCGACGCTCAGCGGCCGTCGGCTCTGGTCGTTCTGCTTCCTCTCTATCTGATCCATGTCAGGAGACGGCATCAAGCTGTAGTTGGCGTTGTGGTTTGTGTGGACCGGGCTTCCGTAGTTCCCCGTGACGTTGAACTCGATTTCTATGACGGACCAGAAAAAAAGGAACAAAATACAGGAACTATTCAGTGTGTTGTTGTTTGAGTAAGTATCTAAGCAGTGTTGGAATGTAACTAAGTACATTTACTTGTCTGTCAAACATTTCCTGTCTAGTAAAAATGAAATATGAAGTTTGTTTTTTCTGATAAACACAGGATCAATTGTTCCTTTATCTGTTGGAGATCTCGTACATCTTGAGCTCAATAAAGTATTTAAAAAGGCTTTGGGATCAGCAGGAAAATGCACAGTCACCTCCAGGGAAGAACCAGTCTGCGTGCTGGATGATGGGCTCGATGATGCCGACGATCTGCAGGGACACGGTGGTCATCATCTCTGTGATGTTCCTGCAGACAGAGACAGAGGCTTTATTACAGCGGGCTGAAGAGGATCAGGAAGATTTACACTCGCCTGTGATTAACACGTTTTTATTGTATTGCATTAAAAAGGAGAAAATTAAAAGCGTTTTCGGAAAGGTTGGCTATTAAAATACTAATTAAAAGTAAGAGGGGGATAAAGGGTTTGTAAGATTTACACAGAGATATTATAAGGGAGGTGTCCTTCACTCTTTCTAAACCGCTGACTCATCCTCATCATGAGTGCACTTTCTGATAAAAAGTCTCCTCAAGGTGTGTGTGTGTGTGTGTTTGTGTGTGTGGCCTAGCATTACTATACTTGTGGGGACCTAAATCTGTTTACACAGTCATGTGTGGGGATTCGCCTCCCTTATGGGGACATATTGGAGGTCCCCATGAGGGGAATCCTTAATTTTAGGGTGAAGACTTGGTTAGGTTTAGGATTAGGGTAAGGGTAAGGTTAAGGGTAAGGGTTAGGCATGTGTTGGTTATGGTTAAGGTTAGGATAAGTCTCCAGGAAATGCATGTAAGTCAATGTAATGTCCCCTGAAGGATACATGATTGTGTGTGTGTGTGTGTGTGTGTGTGTGTGTGTGTGTGTGTGTGTGTGTGTGTGTGTGTGTGCCTGCCTATTGGCCTTTTTGTTATTAGTACTTTGAGCTCTGAGCAGCATCATGAATATTAGGAGATATTAAAATGTGTCACTAAGAAAAATGACATCCCTGTGGAACTGCATACAAAACCGTATTATTATAATAGAACGTTTATGAAAAAGAACGCTCCTCTTCTAGACTGAACAAAGAGGACACTGAGGTTCTACTGCACCCAAACATGACACGATAGTAACTTGCATTTTCTCCCCCTTAAAAGATTCCTGATGCTGTCCATTTTTAGCTCCTACTGTGCAACCAAACTTGCGTATACACTCATAATTCATTTAAGATTTTAGTAGTGTTCACAAAGTTTCAAAAGATACCAGAAACTGCATGACAGTTTATGTTGTGTAAATGTGTATACATACAACTATGCAAAAATACATACAAATGAATGTTATTGGATGGATTTCAATGTGAACATCATGCTGAGACCCAATATATATATTAATTAAATGTTCTTTTTTAACATAACAATTGGGACGCAGGAAACAAATCTCAAAGAGATTCTATCAAAAACATAAACATTTATATTTAAAGGTGGGGTAGGTAAGTTTGAGAAACCGGCTCGAGATACACTTGTTGTTATATTCCATGGAATGCTCTTAACATCCCGATAGCAATGAATATCTGAAGTGCTTTGACAAAAAAAAACATCTGTGGAAGCCGTGGCGCTGTAAAAAGCACGACCAATCATTTTAGCCGGCCCGGCTAAAATAACTGGATGGCCTACCTGCCTGTCAGCCTTCCATCTGTGCACAAACGTATCTCGTGCCCTCATTGGTCATGTGCGCATTCGTGTCATAGACTGTATATATAAAGGTTTGTGTGTGTTGGAGGAGGGGCTCTGTGAGGAAGTCTGAAGGAAGTGGCAGATGTTTTCCCGCTGTGTATTTTCAAATTCTAGCGCACTCGAGCTGGTTTCTCCAAAATTACCTACCCCACCTTTAATAACATGTCCCTTTTAGTGGACATTGGTTCCATCTGTTAGTAGGTGAAATTAGAGAACAGTACATTCACATTAAATAATTAAATGTACTTTTAAGATATGTAATATTAAAAAGGTATCGTGCATGCTTTTAACTGGTTATTCATAGTGTGTGTGTGTGTGTGTGTGTGTGTGTGTGTGTGTGTGTGTGTGTGTGTGTGTGTGTGTGTGTGTGTGTGTGTGTGTGTGTGCCTCAACATTTGAGTTTGCCTCATTCAGAGTTCTGTTTCTTTAAGAATGGGAAATGGTTGAAAATGAGAAGAAGCTACCCTCTGTCCCCCACAAAGCACAGAGGTTCAAATGTGTGCTTTGAAAGCCCCTTTTATTATTTCACCGGTTCGGCTTCGCACTAATTTGAAAAGACATGAGACATGCTCTGTTGGTCACACCCTTAATGTATGTTACATCATTAAAAAAGCCAAGGAAGTGCTCTTCACAGCACCAGGACTCAAACTGCATGCATGGTGTTTGAAATGAAGCCTCAATGTCATGTCCTCCACAGAGGACACATATGAAATGCTGGGTCTCAAAAGGATAGCTTTAGTCGAGAGCTGGAATAAGTTTATGCAGAATACCATTAGAAAAAGATGATTATAATTTATATCTATTTTCTATAGGGAAATAAAATGTGAAAGAGTGGAAACTAGGTTAGATCTAATTAATTATACATCTGTGTTATGGATATCAATACTTGACCTCTTCTTGAGGAGCTTTTGCAAAGGAACAGTGATCAATTGTAATATGAGCTATAATCTTTACTCTACTTGTTTTAGGCACTTTGAAAACATTTGGCATTGCTAGTTTTAAGCAGCAGTGGAAATCAAAACATTTAAAGTTCACATTCATTACAGAAGAAAAACCACAACGCATGTTTTTGCATTTGTAGTTCCTTAAAAATGAACACAAGGTGCATTCTGACGTCGTACGTTATATTCTTTGATAAAGGAATGTTAACTACTGACTAAGTATGCGTCTCTGCTGTCTCACCCTTCGTTGTGCATCCACAGCAGGTTGGGTCCCAGGACAATAGCGATGTTTCCAGGAGTCATCTTGTTCAGATCCTGGTATTCAGTCAGTTTGGAGAGGAACTTGATCAAATACCTGTTCATACAGAAACAGGGAATACATTAGATTTTGTATACATTTTAAAAAGGTACTTTTCCATTGCTGTCCTGTAAAAACATACTTCAAAAGATAATAAAAACTGCCCTGTTTTTAGTTTTGTGTGAGTTCAGTTTTCTACAGATCTGATTGTATTGACTTTGTTTCATTGTTTTCACTTGACAGCTGTGATTTACAAAAACTAAGAGTGCCACATTTGCAGGAGGCTCACACTCTCTGGAAATGCAATCATTTACCAGCTGCAGAGTTAGTGAGATACTTCCTATCTGTCTGGGTTGGGTTTGTGGCGCTGTTGATACTGTGCCAAATGTAGAGCCACATTTGCACATATCGACTTTTTTTTCATGTTTTCGGAAGGATATATTGGTGAAAGTGGGAAATAACAGAACAGAACTGAGCTGTAGTGCAGCTCAAGTGTCCCACCCTGCTTTTTTCAAGTTTAAATAAGATCAAATCCTAGACTAAAAGAGAACACTGTGCTTCCACAGAGCATGCCTGCATGAATTACACTCAGCTTATTATAACAGCAAACTATCGTTGTTGTCTCTTCATCTCTTTCTAAGACCCAGAGATGTGGCAGTGTGTTTCTGTGCTGACAGAATGATTCATCTGGCTGAGCTGCAGCTGGATGAGCATCAGGCTTTTTCCAGCAGCAGCCACCATCCGGACAGGTGACGGGGCTGCTCAAAGGACGCCTGCCTAAAAATAACACCTATTTGTGCGATTCGATTATGACACTGACAAGTGCTGCAGTATCTCTGCTCTTTCAATTTCTCTCCCGTCTCTCCTCTCGCACGTCCTCTCCCCCTCGCAGTGCCTTTTGATGGAGAGATAAGCCCTCTGGCAAATATCTACAGCTCGTCTTAATCCACCTCCGCCATAAGACCTCTGTCTCAGCACCGCTTCACACTGAGCTACACATGGGGAAGGTGTAGATTAGAAGCATACAAAGCGTAATGTAGGCTTACTGTTTCCATGGTAACAAACAGTGACATCTGCTTTTTTTTATATATATATATAAACTAATATCTAATTGCAGAGAAAGTATTCAGATCTAAAACAGTTACAAATCTTGCAAAGTAAAAAGTACTGTTATCAAAATACTTAAATACATAGAGTACCAAAAGGAAATCAACGCAGAATGCAAGAGATTATAGATTATTAATGTGGATGTATCAATGTGTTATAATGGGGGGGGGTCATATTAAATGTATGTACTGCTGGATGGCTTAATCCATAATATATCATAATTTGTTTTTGATAATAATTTGTTTTAATATTTGTTTATGTACAAAGTAACAAAAGCCTTGCAAATGCATGCAATGGAGGGTAAAATTGGATATTTGCCTCCAAAATGTATTCACTTTTTTTTCCTTCCATTTCCTGTGAAACCATAACTCTGTGATCCCTGGAGTCACATGTGTTATTTTGCACTTCAGTGACAAATCTGCTGCCATGACTTTTGCTACACTGATACATGCAGCTGTGGAAGTGAGCGGCATCTTACATTTTGGACTCTAGTTATCTTTTCTTGTCACAGTAAAATGTCCTTGCAACTGGAATTTCCCCGAAACATTTTCTGCGTGAGTGAACAGTTTCTTTTGGCTTGCTCAGTCGACAATGTTTTTTACAAAAATGGAAATGTGTCCTACTTAACACAGCGAAGAACTACAGAGGTTTGTGCAACAGATGAATTTAGATTTCTGTGTGAAGCCTGACTAATCACTTCATGGTTCTGACTGCCAGCAGAGCCCAGGAGAGGGCCGTGAAGAGAGGAACATGGAAACAGTGACTCACTTAAAGTTGTTGTTGTTGGCCGGGGGGAGTTTCTCACAGGCGTTGAGGAGAGCCTGCAGTCTCTTGTCTTGATCTTGAATGCTGAAGGACCACAGGAAGAAGAAAAGTTGAATAAAAATGAAAGATAAAGTTCAAAAGAAAAGAAGCAACACGATGAAATAAAAAGCTACCGACTTTGAGGCCTGGATCCAGTCGTTGTAGAGCTCGTATGTCATTAGAGGCTCCGGGAGCTCCCGCAGGTACGACTTCAAAGCACCTGCGGAGAACAAAATAATAAGATGAATGCATGCATGCAAGGGAACAGAATGTTTTACTACAATTATTTTTATCATATTTACGCATTATAATAACATTTCAAAAATGTATTGTTTGTTTGCTTTTTCAGTGAAGAAATACAACAGCATCAGACCCACCTACGCTGATACAACAAGCCCTTTAAAAAGCACTATCTCCAAACATCATTTGATCAGAAGACGTGGGTGGCAGGAGCATTTTCCAGCTCTGAGGAGGAAGGGGACGGCTGACTGGGTTTCTCTCCAACTTGTCTTCTTTTCTCTGGTCTGCTGAGTTCATTTCCCCCGGAGTGTGTGGGATGGATGACAAACATAAAGCCAGGGCTTCCCTCCCTGGGACACAGCTCGGAGCTGCTGTTCTGTCTGACTGTGTGTTTGGATCTTTGTTGGTGCTAAATAAACACATGAAATGCTAGAATTATGATGAACTACAAATCCTCTAGTTAGATATTAACAAAGAGAAGTCTGCTGCTTTTTCATTGATGCTGATTGGAGATGAACCTCTGCTCCTCCAGTGGGAAAGGCTCGCAAATGAGATTTGCTGTTGGAGCCAACCCAGTTTAATATGGGATCATTAGAGAGGGATACAGCCTCTCTGTCCACATGCTCCAGTGAACACAGGCGACTGACTGATATGATATTTCATAAAAAGGAACATATTGTTCTAGACGGGTGAAAACATTGTATCTCCCGATTTTGAGTTGTATCTTTAAAGGAGCCCTATTGCTCTCATTTTCAGGTTCATATCAATATGTAGTGTCTCTACTGTGACATGTCTCCATGCTTTAATGTTCAAAGAGCTCTTTATTTTCCTCATACTGCCTGTACTGCAGCACCTCTTTTCACCCTCTGTGTGAAACCAGAGCCCAGTCTGCTCTGATTGGTTAGCTGGCCGACTCTGTTGTGATTGGTCAACCGCTTAGAGATGTCCCGCCCCTTCGCCTATCACGTACAATGTCTTGGAGAGCTAGCCAATAGAAGCACTAGTGTTAAATAGTGATGTCCCTCTGGAGGGATTTTAACTTATTCCAAATGTACAATTTGCAATAACAAACAATAATACCTGTTAGAATCCAAAATGTGCACATTTAGCTTGTTTTATTATATTTGTGGTCCCTTTAGACACATGTTGTGTGTTCTACGTAATAACAAACCAGACAATAAACGAGAAAAACGTGGTGTAACAGTTCATAAACTGTAACAAGGACATATCCAGTGTAATGACGGTGTGATTACACTGGAGGAACCTAAATGACTACAGAGGAGGCATTCATTGCTTCCACATCTCTCTTTGGATGCTGGGAGTTCACTTTCCAAAAAATGAATTTTCAGGATCTAGGGAAAACTTTGGAGCTTTTCTTCTTTGGAGTTATGCAGGACTCTGAGGACAAGCACCACCCTCACACACAAGATCAATAACAGCTTTATAAAAGCTTGTTTTCTTTTATAGTCCATCATGGTTTGGATTTAACAGCAGATCAAAAACAAAAAGACCGTTTTTCTGCCGAAGATGAAGAAAGAAACACTAATCCTAGTAATATTTTGAATTTATCACAAGACATTTTTGTGATAGTTTATTGATTATCTCTCCAATATAAAAAGAAATACAACAAACTAAAAACATCTATTTGCGGTTGACTCTCAGGAGAAGCAAGAGTGATCTTTGTGAGGCCTTTAAATGGGACTTTTGAATGAACCTTTAACAGGACATCCACTGCTGAGGTCTACCAATGACAGCTGTGGAATCAAAGTGTGTGAAGAAGAAACACACAGCCTTAATGATGATGTTTGTGTGGAGGTGGCGGGGTAGATCAATAACACATGGACGTTAGAGCGTGCCAGAAATGTGGAGAAATTAAGATTCCTAATGTGCAACATGTGCCAGCTCATAAATGTACCCATGTAAACCGAGATTAGCAGCCACTGGGAGACAGGAAAGGGAGGGAGGTCATGGAGAGCTCACCTGCGATGGCATGAGGGTCTGCAGAGTACTCCTCGACATCCAACACGCCACAGTCCAGAGACGCCTTCAGTTTCTTCAGTTTGGAGGCTGAAGGAGCGATTCTGAACAAACCCTGAGATGCAAAACATGAAAAGACTCATTTATGTAATTTTTAAGTAAAGAAAATTAAGTGATTTTTAATGAGAACGAACAAACTACACATTTTCTTGTACATTTCAATCTTGGAGTTCTGAGCCTATAATGCTGTTGTGCTTATACACAGGCAGAGATAACTGATGTATGAGGGCTACTTCTTCTGAATGGTGGCATTTGTAAAGAATTAGGAAAACTAAATGCACATTCTAGTGCCCAACTTTACAGCACTTGAGTCTACAGCCTCAAGTACTTTAAATATTTCTTAATAGTAAACTTACACTAAAGATAAGTATGTTTTTAAGAACTCATTTTGTGTGTTTATGAATCGTCAGACAGGCTAAAGACAATGATTGAAATGAAGTACACTTTCAGAGGGAACATGTCGTACATTTATTTGACGACTACATTCAGATTAAAATGTTACGAACAAAACATGTAACTAGATTAAATATGTCAGACCATAAGCTATTATACTATTATAGTCATTACAACAGTCTGAAAGGCCATTCTGCAGTGTAAGCCCTTTTTCCTGTGATATGCTACTGCTATATTTTACTGATAATACTTGTTTGCTTTAGCAAAAGATTGAAAATTGAATGTAGTGTTTTTTAAGTTAGTTTCAGCTAGAGTCGTTGTTAAGTGATTTTTTATATTAGCAAAACATTTTGAACATTAAACCCAACTGCTAATGTAAGAGCAGCTGAGTCAGCAGAAATCCTGGTATCAAAGGGTCGTTTACTAAATTAATGTCGAGTTGAACACTAATGATAAGTTTGACTGTCAGCTTTTTAAATAATTACACACCACATTCAAAAGCACTATCTATAATGTTCAGCAAACATCGCATTAAGTCTAATGACTGTTGAAATGAAATGTAGTTATTCATGGTGATGCATTTATTTTTCTTATAATCTTATAAACATTTGTTTACGGGGAACATTTAGATTACCCTCAATATGTCTCCATTAAACAATCGTTAACAAGCTGCACAGCTCATTGTCTTGATAACATCAGACAATTAGGACATTTCTAACCATCACACATTAATTAAACAGCCGAGGACTTTGGCTTCAGGCTGTAAAACTGCAAATTGCTTTGAGGAAAGCAAACTGTAGCCTAGACCTCATTGGGTTTTCTTTCAGTGACTTCATCTCAGTCGTGACTTGTGTGTGTGTTTCATGTAAAAGACAGGTGCTCTGTGTGTGAGGCTGACCTCCTCCGGCATGCCACACTCCAGCAGCATGGTGACACAGGCCTCGATAGGGAAGGCAATATCTCTCCCGCTGAGCGCTAAGTGCTCCTCTAATGATTTCCCGTAGCACGGCTTCTCCACCCAGGTCTCTGTCAAACACACACACATAGAGTTAAACACACACACACAGGAAAACATGCATGGAATACAGTCGCAGCTACAGATGCTAAACATTTCCTCTCAGGCTGCAGGAAGTTAGCAAACCAAACAGTAATACAATTGCCGGAGGACCTTTACAATCTGTTATCTCATGAAGCTTCTATCTGTAAGCAATGGGATCCTGATTGAATGCTACATTTGCAATGACAGATTTTAGTTTTTGTGCTAATGCTCTTCTCACAGGCTATTAAGAAAAGGTGATTTCACATATTTGTATTTGTGGAAAATGTAATCATAATTATCAGAGGTGTGGACTCGAGTCACATGACTTGGACTCGAGTCAGACTCGAGTCACACATTTTATGACTTGAGACTCGACTTGACAACATCACAAAAGACTTGCGACTCGACTTGGACTTGAACACCAATGACTCGGGACTTGACTTGGACTTGAGCCTTCTGACTTGAGGTGACTTGCTACTTTAATTCAGAGGTCTCCAACACGCCGATCGCGAGCTGCCGTTAGAAGAGCAGACTCCCGTCGGGGAAAGCAGAATCTTCAGCCGCTCCTACTCTTGCTGAGAATCCTTGCAGGCAGGGGCGGGTCTTTATTTAGCTGGGCCACCATGCGGCCAATCATATGCGAGGACACACTAGGATCATACCATTATGTGAAAGAAGGGTGGGGGCACAGCAAGTGCAGAGCGACGGGGAGACGGGGAGCCGGATTTAAATGCAAGCGCGTCGGAAAAAGTCAAGAAATGAGCGAAAACCGAAAAAAGAAGCAGCATCTGGCTGCTTTTCAATGATATTGGAGAAAGCAAAGCTGAGTGCAGGATTTGTAAAATGAAAATAACCTTCAGAGCAGGGTAAACACTCAGGATTTATTGTCAGAGGTGGGAGAAGTTCAGACAATTAAACAAAGTTACAATCAGGGTTCCCGCGGGGTCTTAACAAGTCTTAAAAAGTCTTAAATTTGATAATCAGAATTTAAGGCCTTAAAAAGGTCTTAAATATGATTCAGAAGGTCTTAAAAATTATCGGATTTGAAAGGTACTTCTGTGTTGCGATAGCGTCTAAATGTGTTTTGGGGGAAATGTCCGGGCTGCAAAGTAACCAGTACGGTAATAGCCTTTCAGTTCCCCCAACAATTTGTATTGAATTAAATCAACATGGAACCAGTAATCACTAACTTTGTTTCCCCCGGCCCCTTATTGGAGAACACCCAGCTAGTAACCTAGCAACCAAGCTTCAGCTCATGTAGCCTATCTTCGAATCTACTTACAAATAAATATGGGGAAGTGTAAGTTCAACCGTATTTGGTTGGAAAACATCTAATTTAGTGCTTGGTTGAAACCAGTGGAGGGGACGTGTTTGAAGCCCGCTGCACCTTTTGCAAAATAAATTAGTGTTTGTTTTGCTAATGTAGCGTTAGCTAGTGCAGCGTTAGCTAGTGGAGCGTTAGCTAGTGCAGCAGCAGCTAATGTAGCGTTAGCTAGTGGAGTGTTAGCTAGTGCAGCAGCAGCTAATGTAGCGTTAGCTAGTGCAGCAGCAGCTAGTGCAGCGTTAGCTAGTGGAGTGTTAGCTAGTGCAGCAGCTCCCGCAACAACACCGGGGGACCTCCGGGCGAAGTTTGGGTCTACGTCAACCCTAAAAGCGGAGGTGCTGTAGACGCTAAATACCGTAGCTAAACACCAATCATACAACAGCAACGATGAAATAGTGTAGCCAAGGCAGCAGAGCTCAGTCTGAATATAGCTCTTGTCACTCTCTCTCAGACTCTCTCAGACACACACACACACACACCACACCACACACACACACACACACACACACACACACCACACACACAACACACACACACACACACACACACACACAACACACACCACACACACACACCACACACACACACACACACACAACACACACACACACACACACACACACACAACACCACAAACACACACACACACACACCACACACTAGGGCTGCTCGATTATGGCAATAATCAAGATTATGTTGGTCAATAATTAATATCACGATTATTAAATATGATTATTCATTGACTTTGAAAACATCCATTTATTGAACTTTAAAACAGATAATAATTTGAACAGTATCTTTTTAACTGTTGATTACCCTGAACGTATAATTCAACTGAAAAACCAATACAAAAATTAATTAAATAAATGATACATTACTAAAAAAATCATTAGATCAAATATGTTGTGGTGCACTGTCATAACCTAGCAAAGAAAAATAATCGTTTTTTCCGATTATGTTGTTTTCGTAATTGTGGCAGGCCAAAATCGTAATTGCGATTAAAATATGATTAATTGCACAGCCCTAACACACACACACACACACACACTCAAGCGCACACACATACACACTTTTTGTCTAACACGCTAACACAGTTCTGTACTGTTACGCTGTTGTGTTCAGTCATTGTTCTTATGTTGAACATGAATACATTTACTTTGTAAGTGATTATGGGACGTATTTCTTCTTTATATACATTTTCCTTCATACTTTATTGCTGTGAAATAGGTCTTAAATTCTATTCAAAGTGGTCTTAAAAAGGTGTTAAAAAGTCTTACATTTGAGTTGGCGAAACCTGCAGGAACCCTGTACAATAAAAAGTCCTGCATTCAAAATGTTACAAGTAAAAGTACAAAAGTATTAGCATCAATATATACTTAAAGTACCACCTGCAGAGGGATCTAGATGCAGGTGTTCTCTTCCCCATAGAGACCGCCTCGCTGCACATTATCCCTTGCATAAAGATAGATTGTGGGTCCCTTATAACATGTTGTACACAGTGGAAATAAACATTCTGGTCACCTCAACATCAGGGATCTTATACATTAAACTCCTTCTGAATCAAACCGTCACGGTAGCCTCACCTTACTGATCCCTCTTAAATTAGAAAAACACACGTTACTTTACCAGCAGAGAGAAAATGGATTATTAAATTATTAATGTGACTAATAAAGAGCAATTTGATTATTAAGTATTATTCTGTTGATCGATGTCATTACATTTGGTGAAAAACACATAATGACTTGTTTATGACTCGTTTTGTCAAAGTTTAGGACTTGGACTTGACTTGAACTTGCCCATCCTGACTTGAGACTTGACTTGGACTTGCAAAACAATGACTTGAGACTTGACTCGGACTTGAGCGCAAAGACTTGAGACTTGACTCGGACTTGCAAAACAATGACTTGGTCCCACCTCTGATAATTATTGACAATGGCGTTTGAGTTCAGGTCATGTATGTGACTACATACAGACACAAATGAAACGTTTTTACTGTATTGATTTAGAGGAATGTAATATTTTATAGCTCATCAAGTACTGTTAAGTGTCGAAGATAATTTCTTTTTTTTCTTTTTTAAGTTTCTCGAACGTTGACGACTTAAAACGTATTTCTTATTGGAGTTTTACTCCTGCTCCCGTGTTTATAATTATTATAAATATTTTTTACCTAATTGCCCAAATATTCCCAGTTTAACTGAATAAATGCTTCACATTTTACAGTATATACTTGTGTTGCGTGGCTACAACTGTGTTTGTAATCCTGAATTGTATAATGACAAAACAACTTATATTGTTCCTTATTTTGATACAATTATTTAAAGCTCTTTACTTTTTTTCTCGTACTATTTTTAGACATTTAATGTTACCTAATTTGAAAACCAAGATATACGTCATACCTCCCTGCTTATTAACGTGCCAAGAAAGTATAACTATACTGCACTCACAGTTAATGTTAGTGTTGAAACTCAAATTAAAACAGATATATTTTAGCATGACCCCCTACTGTCCAAAGGCCATTATAAACATGCAAATTAGCACACATAGGACATTGCAGCAACAGCTAACCTGATGTCAGAGAAGAAAGAGTCGTAAAACCTGATGCATCATGTGATCTCAAACTCACCCTGATGAGCCTTGATCTGGGGCAGCACGCTTTGCAGCAGCTCTAAGGACTTCCTGTGGTACTCTGCCTGGACCTCTATCAGCTGGAAGAGAGGAGAGACACTGTGATGGAGCAGCAGAACATTTCACTGAAACCCCGTCACTGCAGAGAGGTTGGACTTACTGTCTGGAAGTAGCTTGCATAGTCGATTTCTTTGGCCACAAAACTGTACATGTCTGCCGATAGCTGGTCCTGTGAAGACACACAAAAACATATGGTCAAACTACAAAGTAAATCATATTAAAAACGTTAAATGTTTTTAAAAAATACCTTTTGAAAAGCAGACATTTAGAATTGGGAGCGTAGCACAGGTGAAATTAATTGCATTAATGAGGGGTGCAGGCGGAGCTTTGTTAGTGTTATTAGTTACACCTGTGAGTTTCCTGCAATGACAAGTACAACAAATGGTGGCAGTTAAAAATGTCAAAACTTGTATTAATATGCAGTCAAATTGATAGTGTATATTGATAGAATATTGAACTAGGTTGTGTTTCCTTTGAATATTTGTAGAAGTTACGGCTATTTCAAGTATTGTTTGAATGCTCCTGTTATTTGGAATAAACTCAGGTAAAATGGCAGGTCCATTGTATCCATTCATTGCTTTAAGTCAAGGCTGAATACTAAATCTTATACATTTTCATATCTTAGACAGCACTGCAACTTTTATTCGGGTACTTAATAGCTAAGTGTATTTTAGCTTGTCCTTATTTTTCTCCTCTTGGGATTTGAATGCTTTTATATTTGGGTTTCTTTTTGCACTATTTGAGTATTTTATATAAAGCACTTTTGCATTGTTGAAATGTGCTATAAATGAACTTGCATTACTTGACATTACTTGTCTGTATTAAGGTGGACGACAGGTGTGAAAAACGTGCTGCAGTTTCAAAATTGATGAAAAATATGAAAACACAAATGTGTCCAAACACATGAAACTGAGGAAACATCTTCACCAGTGTCCCCGTTTCCGTTGTACTTTGAGCTTTTTTGGAGCGTTGTTCATTTAGCAGAGCTTGTATTAAACGCTGCCTATGTTTCATCAAGTTGATGAATGTTTTCTAAATGCTGCACATCTGTTGTCAAGTTGTTGAAGATGTTTCTTCATGTGCACGTGGATTGGCACATTTGTGTTTTTATATTCGTATACATTTTGAAAGTGCAGCGCGTTTCTCCTAATGGAAGTGTGTTTGGCCGCTGTAGCGCGTTTGCTCCTGTCGGCCACCATACTGTAGAGTAACCTGCAGTTGAAATATATCAAAATGTGCGTGTATTGTCAAAATTGTTGCAATACCATAATCTGTTCAAGTATAAGAGTACTGTCTGTGTGAGATGGCCCAGTCCAATAGGAATTTGGCAACTGTTTCTGTTAGGGCGGTGAGAAATACAAATATATTGCCTCACAGCTGTTCCCGGCTGCTCCCGGAGAGCCCCAGCATGACATCATTTCCATCTTTCTCTGCTCTGTCCTCACCATCCACTCTTGTTTTGCTGAACACACCCGAGCAACATAATCATGTGAGGACGGAGCAGGGAAGAGAAACTGAGAAACAAAAAGTGAAGTGCTTCATAAATGATCAGATGTTCCTTTCCTCATGCCAAAATGTTCAACCTCATAACCTAACCCTGTGTTGTGGTTTTTGAAAATCCAATAGAAAAGTGGACTAAAATAACAAAGAAGTAGCTGCCAATATTTTGCTTATAGTAACAGTAAGTGAAAAACAACAACAGTTTGTTTGTTTCAATTGGCTCGAATCCGCCCTGTAAGAACAGCTGATAAACAAGAAACTATTTGTATCAGGAACTTTGAAGTAACTTCTCTTAGGGGTAATTTCAGGTGTTTTTGAATCTCACGTTAACTTGTTTTTTAAGTTTCAACGTTGTTTTTATTCAGCCGTAGATACTGTTGACTCACAACATTAAAAAAAAACGGTAAGCCTTAGCTCCGCCCACCCTCTCTGAAGGACCAACCACAGCTGAGTGATGTAAAATGCGTTACTGTGCGCCATGTGCGACTTTTGAATAGGAAAATCCAGAGTCTTTTTGAAGATAGAGCTTTTAACATTTAATAATACTAAAAATAATAATAAAAGGTATTTAGGGGCGCCTTTCATGACACCCAAGGGTACCGTAGAATTTGGTAAATATTTGGAGACGTTAAAAGCAACAGAACATGATAAAAACATAAACAGGCAATCATGGAATGATTCATAAATCATTTTTTTAAGTTGATATGGCAAACTTTGTTAGCACACGTGTCATGGATGTGCAGCAACATTATCATCTATTTGAGTCTTTGTATGTTGCTCTGATTTTGGTCTCCACCAGCTCCTGAGAGAGATATCTGTCCCTAAATGCTCCACTATGTTCACCAGCTAGTGTCTAACTGTGTCCGCCTGCTGTTTGCTGCTGAGCAGGTAGAGTACCAGGGTTGCGGTCGAATAGTCCATTTAGCTTAGGAACCTTCCTAACGGAGTGAATTGACCCGGAAGTACCTCAGTGGCAGCCATGATAAGTGCCGTTCGAATTATCTAGATGATAGGAAAGGAGGTTTCAAACTTCCTTTATAACCTCCTTTAGCTTAGGAACCACTGGACCTCCCTAACCGAAAGGAGAGGAGAAAATGCTGCCCCACAATATCTTGCGGCCGTGGCGCTGTAAAAAGCATGACCAATCATTTGAGCCGGCCCGGCTAAAGTAACTGGATGGCCTACCTGCCTGTCAGCCTTCCATCTGTGCACAAACGTATCTCGTGCCCTCATTGGTCATGTGCGCGTTCGTGTGTGTTGGAGGAGGGGCTCTGTAAGGAAGTGGCAGATGTTTTCCGGTTGTGTACTTTCAAATTCTAGTGCACTTGAGCTGGTTTCTCCATTCTTACCTACCCTACCTTTAAGCATTTTAAAACGTATGTGGTAGCCTAATTATAATCAAAAAGAGAAATATGAATGTTAGTTTTTACTGAAATGATCAAATAAAGTCAACATCTCACAGTCTTTACTGAGCTGTGTGGGGTTTGTTCAACTTTTAAAAGATGTTTGAATGGTGATGTACACAGTGATAGATGTTAAGGACTAATGTTTATAATAAATACATTTGTATTGATTTTAAGATATTTTCATAGTTCATACAATCATACTGGGATCATTTTTTGTATTAATGTGGACCGGAGGGAGAGGGTGACGAGCATAAGTTTCACTTTCCTTTTTTATTTCAATTCCAACTTTGGTCATGAAGAATATGTTTCTCTGTTGTCCACGTTCATAAAGCATAAAGCAACAGCATCAGAGCACGGTGCAGAGTCTCTAGATGAGTTTACAGTAGTCCCTCGTTCTTATTAAACATCCATGTTGTAGTCCGCTGTATAGAAAACTGTAGTTTCCATAGTTTCCCCACAGCAGCAGACGCACATTCATGACGTCCGCTGGCACATCATAAACACGTCGGATAGTGAAAGTGCATTCGGATTCTCTAAAGTACCGCAGTCTCTTCTCCTAAGTCCTTTTGAATTCTCCTATCCACTATCCCTTAACCCCGTGACGTTTCACAAAGAGGTCAAGAAATAGACGATAGGGTTAGACGTTAGGAGCTGATTTTTGGACTATTCGACTGCAGCCCAGGGCTTTTTACAGCAGTTTCTTCTGAAGCTGCTAAACAACACTATGAGAGCATTGAGCCGGGACCAAAACAGATAACCATCTTACATAAAAATATGAATTCAAACAGCTTTAACTAAATGGATCCTCTCAATATGAATGGACATTAACAGTTAATTGCTTGTGAGTAAGGTGGTCACTGACTCGGCAGATCTCCATGCGGTTGGCTGCCTCCTCCATCTCCTCCCTGTGGTGGTCGGCCTTCGCTCCTGACGGCTGCAGGTTACTGGACAGTCCTGAAGACTTGTTGGACTGATAATACCTGGGGGGAAAACAATTGTCAATATTACTATTAATTGAAGTAGTCAGATCCTACTGTATATCAAGTACTCCACTACAAGCAAAAGTCCTACATAGAAAATATACTTTATCAAAAGTATGTATGTATAATCAACATACAAAGTGCATTAAGATATTTCATGTCTGTGTTTCAGTATTATTTATGATGTTTTGGATTAATATAACTGCTGTTTTAATGTGTACGTTGCATTACACTGCTGTACAGTATGTTTAAAGTTGTTGTCATTTGCACTGGTTTATTTCCTAAAGGATTGTGTAAATGTAACACATTTCATTATATTCTCTAAGATCATCATGTGTTTGTAGCTTAATAGCTTTCCAGTGATATCCATAAAACGTCAACTTGTCATGAGTTTGTAAGATAAACAGCCTTGTTTTCAGCTCATTCAACAAGGTTTTGAAATATTAAAAATTCAAGACATTTGTATGATTCCACTGTTAAGGAAAGGGGGGTGAAATGTTATCTGCTAAGTCACTTTATCTGTCAGACAAATGCACTTCAGTTTTTGTCCTTACAGTAGTTACATTCCACCAGTGTGAGCACAGCATGTTAAACTAAACCTCCAGCAGCGTAGACTTTTGTTTTTATATTTAAGTGATAATCATCGACAACACAATCTGCTGGATAACAAAACACCTTTTAAAAAGCCAATTTAAGTCTTCACTTGATTCTCTATATACACACCCTGGCCTAATTCATTCCTCTAAGCTGTTTTCTGTTCCGTTTAAGCCCCCCTCTGCCCTCTCTGTCTGGCTTTCTGTCTGAGATGAGTCTCTGGGTGGAGATAATATGCCACGCTGCCAGTGGAGCTCAGCACAGCCGCATGATGGGAAAAACTGTCTCAGATTTGGGTCACCCAAAAAACAAACTGACTGCCTGGCTGGACTGCAGAGAGGATCATCACATTTCTCTTCATATCACTGCTCAAACTGAAGTGATGACAGTGAATCAGCAGGAAGAAAGTGCGGGGATAGCACGTTACAGGAAACAGCTTCTGATTGGACGGGAGAGAAAGCTGCACTGACATGATCATTCAAGAGGTTTTCACATGTCTTTATAAAATCAATCAGAATAAGAAAACTTTCTTTGTTAACATTGTGTTTTGTGACAGTTGCTCCTTTTTAGAATTACATTTTTTTATTATAACAAATAATATTCATATTTATACAAACATAAGAGGCTTAAGTAAGAATGTAAACATATTTAAATACAATTTATTTATATATATTTATATAAATATAGAGAGGTAAAGTAAAGATGTTAAATTCGTAATAAAAGATAAAACAAAATAACATTTAAAAATAATAAAAATATGTATGCAATTATAACAACTTAAAGTAAGACTTACAAATATAAAATAAAATAAATCAAAGATATTTTAATGTACATAAAAAGGTAAAGTAAAGATGTTGAAAATGATTAAAATAAAACGTGTTAAAATACAAAATAAAACAAAACAAAACAAATAAAATAAAAATTCCTTAAATCCTTAAACCAGCAATACATGTACTAAACAAATATTGTTAGTGTAATAGCTTGATAAACTTTACTCCTCTGCTTTTGAACAATTAGGTTTTCAATCTGCAGATATTCATGGTGGTTACACTTCACTTTGTGCAATTGGATCCCAGTTACATTCAGTGTGAAGTACCAGGTCCATTCACAGCGGGTGGAGTTTCCCACATCACACACACACAGTAAAACAGACTCACCGTGTGCGCGCTGAGTCCATGTCCAGCACCAGCTTGGCTAAATGTTTCCTTTGTTTCTGGATGTTTGGGATTTCCACCTGAGAGGACAGAGCAGAGAGATGTTGTTTGTTTGTTGGTGTGAAAGAGGGAACACAGGATCTGCACCTGTTGGAGGAAAACTCTGCTCTCATGAAGATTAGCTTAATCATGTACAGTTTTCCCTGTATTAAACACATGTAGGAGCTGCCCTGTGTACACACTATTCAATAGAGATTACACTGCAGGTTTGTCTGACAGGTATCAGGGACTATTTAAGAGCATAAATGCTTTTTTCAATATAAATATATTTACTAATTAAACCGACAATGTGAATAAAGTGTGAACATATATATAAATATGTTTTTATTTTTAATTCAAACTAAAATTATTTTTTGATGGTATCAAGAGGCTGGGGGTTCTATCAGAAAAATAACAACAAATAAAGTCAAATTAATTTGCCTTAGTCTTTTATAAAAAATAAAACATGAGTGAGTGGAAATCGGACATAGAAGAGAGAGAACACCTGTTGTGTTACTTTTTTTTAAAGGTTTTTTTAAATAGGTTGCCTTAATAATAATAATAATAATAATAATAATAAGTTTGATCTGAGATAACACAGTGGATCCCACAGTGCCGTTTGTATACCTCTGCCAGGTCGTACAGAGGCTCCACGACGTCCCTCTCGATGGTGAGCTCGAACAAGATGAGCTCGTGAGCCAGTTTCTCCTGCGTCTCGCCGCAGAGCTTCAGCATCTTCCTGCAACACACAACAAGACCCGGAAACATCATGGATCAGACAGAGAGCAGGCGTCACCTTGTAAACGTCTCCAACGCTCGCTGATATTTATTCACCTTCTCTCAAAACTCTAATAACAGCAGTGATGCTTATACATGAGTAACTGCCTCAGGTGATGTAACACAGTGTAACTCACTCCAGAGTCAGGCTCAAACACATACATGAAGACAGCTAGGCATCAGCATGTGAATACTATTTGAATGTTCTGTATTAGACTCTCTTACCATACGTCTGAAATAAAGTACAAACAGATCATTCTATCTTCATACGTTTTTGTGTTTGCAATGGATTTTTCTTTCATCCAGATATCAACTGATCTCTTTTGTGCTTGACATACTGTAACTAAAGATCATATAATACACATTGAAATACACAATACATTCAATTATAAAAGTACATTTAATAGCTTCATTATTTGCAGTACTTAGAAAAACAACCAAAAATGAATTTAGATTTTTTGCAAATATTTTTTTTCAATCTAGTGTTTGGACTTTTTCTGGTTATTAGTGTGCCAATTCAAATAATGACACATAATATCTTGCATTTATGTTTGTTAGTGCTAATAACATGTATATGCTTATCCTTTTCCAACTTTTAATTGTATTGCTTTGATGTTTTTCTGTTTTTGTTTCGCTCGTGGATATTGTCATAGTAATATTTTTTATCCAAATGTATGGTATACATGGTCAACTGTAATAAGAAAGAACAAACTCCTTCCGTCATTAAAATATAGGAATAAGCCTTTTGTTACCCTTAATATTAGGCGAAGGCAACTGCAAAATTCTATTAAATAAATAAAAAAATGTTTTCATATTTCCTCTCAGTTATGCTGTTTTCTACTATTGACACTATTGACAAAGTATTATTATTTCAGTTCAATTTAGTAATGTTTGTTCATTAATATGTATGTATATATTATGTATTTATTTGTATTATTATAATAAAGGATACTTTATTATATGCATTGATCACATTTTGGAACCTCTCTTAAAGGTCCCATGTCATGGCCATTTCTACTGATCATAATTCCATTGTTGAGGTCTACTAGAATAGATTTACATTGTTCAATGTTCCAAACTCACATTGGTTTCTCATACAGCATCTCTGTATAGTATGTGTATTCACTCTCTGTCCTAAACGGCTTGTTGGAGCTCCTGCCCCCCCTCCCTATGTGGCCGTCTGCGAGACAGCGAGACACAGCGAAACCCAGCCCGAAACCAGCCCGAACACACACACACACACCCGCAGCCTGGCTGGGAGTTTGTGTGGAGCTGCAGCTGAGAAAAGATTGAGTGTGTGTGTGTGTGTGTGTGTATGTGTGTGTGTATGTGTATGTGTGTGTGTGTGTGTGTGTGTGTGTGTGTGGTGTGTGTGTGTGTGTGTGTGTGTGTGTGTGTGTGTGTGTGTGTGTGTGTGTGTGTACTTACCCTAGTAGGGACTCGTCTCCGAGCACCACCGCCCCTTCCACCATACATTGTGCAAGTGTAGTTAGAGGAAGCTTCTTCTACACAGAAATATTAAACAAACACAAAAGAAAAAAAAACATCCTTTATTATCTCTGATGGAGGAGATGCTTTCTAATTAGCACCTGCACATCCACATAAATTCCCACTTTATGAGATGAAGTTGTTGTTCTCTCTTTTCCTTTGACAGGCCTTATCTGCTCCTGCCCTGTCAGGACCACCAACACTAAATGAGGGAATGTTTTCTGTTTGCCCCTAAGCAGGATTAGGGAAAAACTACCACGAAACTTTGTGAAAGGCTGAATCAGGGGCCAAAGAAGAACCTAGTAAGCTATGGGGCTGGTCTGGATCACTGTACGGATACACAAATATTGTTCCTCTTGACTTGTTAGCCTTGATGTGGTTTTTTAATGATCTGAGAAATGTGTTCTTGACTGAATGCAACCATTAGACTTTGGTAGAGGTCTGCTAGAGGTCTGAGTCTCTGTAGGCTTTAAAGTGTTTTTGGGTGTTTTCTCACCGAGGGAGACCTGACAGATTTCTTCTCCACCTCCACGCCCTGCTGGCCCTGCAGACAGGCGGTCAGCTTCTTGTGTGTGCTGTGGGAAACCTGCTTGACCAGCTCCAGACGTTTCTCCACCTGAGACACAGGAAGAGAGAAAAGACATGAGAAAAGATAATACAAAAATACAATATACCTATTTGTCTTCCTACCTCAGGTACCTCATACCTGAAGTGCTAATTATCGGTCTAGATTGTTTTGGTGCGAGGGTCGTATATATTATATTGAAAAGGACATATAATGCACATTTTCAGGCTCATTGTTGTGACTCTACTGTAACATGTTTCCATGTTTTAATGTTCAAAAAGCTCATTATTTTTCTCATACTGCCTGTGCTGCAGCACCTCTTTTCACCCTCTGTCTGAAACCAGAGCCCAGGCTGCTCTGTTGTGATTGGTCAACCTTTTAGAGATGTCCCGCCCCTTAGAAAATCAGGTACAATGTGTACATGAATTGGAGCGCTAGTCAATAGAAGTGTGAGTGTTACATAGTGATGTCACTATGTTACGGAAATAAATAAAGGCCATTAATTAATTAACATGCAGAAAAACCTATACAACACACTACAGGAAATGAAAACGCCAAAATCAATAAAAGGGCCTCATTAACTAGCCAGATCATGACTTTGGACTTGGCAATACATTCCTGAACAATCTAGATAGATATATAGATAGCACTACAGGTAAGAGAACACATATGTAATATGGGGGTGAACTATCCCTTTAAGTCATAGTCAGGATATCCCTATTTGCAGTTACTATCACACACTTGCAGGCCCTTACAGCCTGTCTGCCTGGCATCAAGAAAATTCCCATCCGGTGACACTTATACGACACCATTACCTGTCTCACCTAAATGCCTCTCATTTCATTATTAACCCAACTCAGTGGAACCGTCGTGGCTGGCGCTGAGGGCGGCATTAATCAGATCAATTACAGTGCTGCACCCCGAGTCAATCAGTGGGGACGCTCAGCCTTTTGTCTCACAAAGAAGTTCAATTTCAGCGCTCATTAACGACACCCGCAGGCAGTGCACAGAGCCATTTGAAAAAGTCATTTCATGCAGGCTGAATACTTTGCACCGATGATGATTCTTTTTCCCTGTGAGAGGCAGAAAACATTGTTCACACACACACACACACACACACACACACACACACACCACACACACACACACACACACACACACACACACACACACACACACACACACACACACACACACCACACACACACACACACACACACACACACACACACACACACACACACACACACTTGATTGATTAGTACCTGTAGTAGGTCGTCACTCAATACTTCTGTTTTTTCCGCTCTGAAAGAGAAGAGAAGAAGAAAATATGTAATTACATCATTTGCTGAACTTCTATAATTACAGTTGCAGCCTGGAGCAAAAATAGGAATGCTTCTTTTTCTATCTGTTACAAATGGCTCAAGCTAATTCAAAGGAAAGACTACAAAGTTTGAGGATGGAAATCTGACAGGGAAAAAAGAACTTGCATGTCGCCCAGTCAAAATCAAATGATCTCCACTTTACAATAGCAGCTGTTTCACAAAGTCAAATGACTCTGAAGGCAACACAATACAGTCTCCACAGGCTCAACATGAAAGATAGTTAAGGTCCACCACATGAAGGATAGTCCCACTGCAGTGCACACAACGATGCAGAAACATATATCAGTGCACAACATAATAACTGCCAGATCATTTCATTACTTGCTTAAGTATGATAACGCTGTTTCTCTAATTGGATGGAAATATGAAAAAGCTTGTTGATTAATTTCCAGAAAATGTTATTAAAAATAAATATGATGACACAAGAGTCTGAGGCTAGCATCTCTGTGAGTCAGTATAATGGTGATTTTGTTTGGGAGCTCTATGGCACAGAGGAGATTTATCAGGATTTAAAACACACAAATAAGTTGTAGTTGAACCATTCATTGTTAGTATGTATTAACAATAAGCTATGAAACACAATCAGCCTTATCCTTTAATAAGTGACCCTTTTTTTGTAATATAATTCATCCTTTTTTAATGTGGACCTCTGTAACTCTATATTATATATATTATAATAAATACTTCCAGCTGAGGTGATTTTATTTTCTGTCTCTGTGATTGTATTTTATTTGATTAAATGGTCTCTGAACGATGTAGATAGATACAGACAAAAAAGAAGCCAACATTGAATATATGATTATGTAAAGAGCTAAAACAAACAAAAAAAAGAACATTTTTGTTGCATTTTCTTTGAGTTGTTAGATCATCAGTTTCACCAAGCCATTTAACAAAATAAATCACAACACTATTGAATATATTGTCTACGAGTCTTAAGACCAGCACACAGAGGGAGAGGTGTGTGAAAGCACCAATGCTTGATCTAAAATGTAGATGTTAGCACTTAGCACTGGGATATATTAGGTATATATGAAATACCTCAATATGGACGTTGGGATCATATTGTAGGGTTGACTATTGATGCTTTCATCAAATATTTACACAAAGGGTTTTTTAAATGAAAAATCCTCAGTAATGTGGATATATTATCTTAGCATGAAAAGCCAAATACTTAAATAATATCAACTTACTGTAATGCACTTTTTAAAACCAGAAAAAGACAACACTTGTGCCATAACCTAATATTAATAATCTAAAAGCATGTCTCTCATATCATGATATCTATATCAAATTGAACTATTGCCCAGCATGACTGTCATTAAGATCTTCTACCGCTGAGTGATATTCTCTGTCTTTGCTCAGCTCAATACACATCGATATGATACATCAGGCTGAAAGCATCTTAACATTTAGCTTCTCCTTATTGCGTGTGCATTTGAAGACACAGAAAGCAATGTGGTTTGAAGAAAAATGAGATCGATGGCAACAAAACATGTGTTTCAAGCACTGATTCCAGAGATGAACAGCATCGGCATACCAACAGTGATTTTTAGCCCGTCCTGCTAACACCCTAACACAGCTCAAAAGATTCCCCAAACATGTCCACGAATACACCGTCACTAACTCTATTTCAACAAAGCATCTATTTATCGTCTGATTTGTATTGGCATGCCTAGAAAATAGTCAAATTGACACACAAGAAAGGAAATCACCTGAGATAAACTACTTCAGCCCTGGAGGTAAACATGTAGTTTAGGTAAAAGAAGAAGTACAATTGTTCACAAGGGTAAAAATTGAGACCCCAGCAGCTTTAAGGATATTTAACAAATTATTTCCAATATTAATATTAAACAACCAGTATAAAATCATATTAATAGATATTTTACACATATATATCCTAATAATCAGCCATTAGTCTTGATATATATACCCCTTATATAGGCTGACATGTAGAAATAGTACCAATCAAGAAATGTAAATAAAATCAATTATTTGCAAGAGTGCATGTGTGCTATGCTTATAATCCAAACCTAAGACAATACGATCGTGAATCTGAATCATCCAACAGCTCTGTCCTTTTCTTTCTGAACACCAACCAACAAAGTCTGCCTCACCTTACTTCCTCAACAACACAGACATCCCCTCTGATTGTATCCTGACACAGACACCTATCATCTAATCCAAATAAAAGGAACCTTAAAGTTCTCCCTGGACTTACAGAGCCTTTCTGTTCCTGCGAGAGGATCTAGTCCCGTTGATTTGCAGCTTTCTCTTCCACATCCCCCTTGCTAACAGGAGGACAACCACCTGCTTTCAGGCAAGAGCAGAGTGACAATGAGGGGGGGGAAGTGGAAGGACAGAGGGAGGAGAAGGAGGGCGTTAGCCTGAAGAATGAGACCTGACTATCTGGTCCTTTGGCTCTCTCTCTTCACCTACATCTCTGTCTTCTGAATGAATGAATTGATTCTGACCTTTTCAACCTCACACACCTTTGATGTGGTTTGGCAGGATTATAATTATTCATCAAATGAAAACAAGAGTACAGTAGAAGAACAAATTACAATGATCAACCTTAAAATCGGCATTATAGGGCCCCTTTAAAGGAATAGTCCTTTAACTAAAAGTGGTAGACCAACCAAACTCAGCAGCCACCAGCAACACGTATGAAAAACGTTGAGACAAGGAGGTTTAGTTATGTCAATATCTGTTTGGCTTTGTGAGTGTGTGCATAGCTTTCTCAGAACGACAGTGTTTGTGTTAGCACAGCCACAATAGTTCTGTGTCTGTGTGTTGATTTAACCTCATTTATTTGTGAAACACTGTGTGCAAATACAGGACTTGTTTTCTCCGAAGTTCAAAGTAAATCACTGACAGTCTCTGGATTCACTTCCTCTCTGACAACAAGGACAGATTTACTGGCTCAGTGATTTTAACTAGAGGGGGATAATGATCACACACATACCCACACTAACACACACACACACACACACACACACACACACACACACACACACACACACACACACACACACACACACACACACACACACACACACACACACACACTAATGAGCAGGTTAGCAATTAGTCAAGCCTGATGCTGCTCTTTCACACACTCAGACAAACACAAGAAATCCAAACATGCTAACAATGCAAAGGAGTGTTTCTCATTTCCTTTCCTCGGTGACAGTTGTTTAGATTGCATTCAGGTGAGCCCACTCACACACACACACACACACACACACACACACACACACACACACACACACACACACACACACACACACACACACACACACACACACACACACACACACACACACACACACACACACACACACACACACACACACACACACACACACACACACACACACACACACACACACACACACACACACACACACACACACACACACAGAGGTTTTAACACGAGCAGAACAACCTGCTGTCAGCTGCAACGTGTGTTTTTCCAACCCGACGACAAATATTCAGACTTGTTGACCTCCCAGTCCTGCATGTATTATATTTGCAAATGTACCTCCATAATGGCATATAATAATATCTGCGTAGAGCGAGGATGATTTAAATGTCTCGAGTTGTCATTTACACAATTACCAGCAGGAGGCAAGATTCGATAATACTTCGACCTCATGTCTCCCTGAGGAAATGGAATATTAACTGTATTCTAAAGCTGCAGCATATGTACCTGCAGTGTTGCTGTAGATGCATGAATGTCAATGTGTTTTCCTGTAAAAAGCATCTGTATACCGATGTGTAGTCAGTGGCTTTAAGAGCACATATTGACAAACAGGGCACAATGTTAAAAGCAGACACTTTGGAGAAAGAAAACCATCGCAGTATGCATTTTAAACCCATACACATCTCCAACTAAATGTACCTTTCTTCTCGCTCTGCCTGAAAAAGGTTTATTTTTTAAATAAAACATGCATGCTGCAAACATTTCCCCCCCAGTCCCTGCATATCTGCACATGTATGGAGAGGAGAAGGTCAGCTGTTAATGTTGTTGTGCTGACGTCCCCACTCCGGGGATTTAGTCGTCGTAACGCAGTGTGACGGGAGGTCACAGCTGAGCAAGGGAGAGGCTGAACACCATATGGTCCATATTTGGGAAGATAGATCAAAATCAAATTGGACAATAAAAATGCTTGCAGGAAACTGTGGCCTTGTATCAGACAAGAAGGGAAAACCTCCATTCAGAATATTAATTTGAAGACCTTTCCATCTCTCTGCAGCTTTTAGTTAATTGTCTGACACATCAAGGGCACTAAAACATCCCGTATCAAAGCCTCAGCAGTAGAGTCAGGACTTTATTGCAGCATCAGCTTCTGTCATCACAGCCGGGATTCCCACTGGTATGGAGAAGAGAGAGGGGGAGGCGAGGCAGTGATGAAGAACTCAGAAGCAGAAGGAACTAGAAGAACATTAGAAATAGTGTAAAAATGGGTTTCACAGTGATAGGGCAATTGAGCGAAAGTATGAAACGACATATTGCTCTCCTTGAAAGATGACTTGTTTTCCCATTACTCGGGTCCAGAACTTTTGTCAGATTAACAATTAGATTTTAAGTCATGGTGGACTGTTGGGGTGCTGTGTACCAGGAGCTAAAGAAAGTGTGTTGATCCTTTGAGGAGGTTGGGGCAGTAGCTACATTTGAGCAAACTGCTAACTGCTAACAGTGGGGCTGTCCCAGGCCCACCTAGTTTACTCATTGGCCCACCCTGAGAAAGCTTTGGTGTACATTTGAATTATTATTATTATTATTTATTTTTTATTATTATTATAAAAAAATGTATTCACCCATTGAGAATATCCAAGCATTCAAAGTGAAATTCAAGTGAACAAATATCGAGTTGAATTAATGTTGTATGTGTTTTATCCTCTGAACCAAATTCATTT